ACAGGTAGTTGACAAGAATCCCCCCACAAAATAGGTACTAGCGGCTACTTAGCCGCTCATGGACAAAAATGAATTCAAGAACCCCCAATGAATAAAAAAGAGTACTAGAACCGTCTACTCCACACATTCTCAAGCCATATCGAAGCCAGTGACCCCGACCCCAATCCATGTTCGTCCTGAAACAGAGTCTCTCACGGCATTTGGTGAGAAAAAAATGTGATGGCCCGCCTGCTAAATGGCCACTTTGGCGAATCAAAGTTTTGGGGCCCACTGGACACAGCCTGTGGCGCTCACGAGCTCGCCGCCTTACTCGTGAGCCATGGGCATGGAACAGTTTTGGTCAGTCCTTTTCTCCGTATCTTCCGATTCCAAAACAAGCAAACAGGGCTGTCCGTTTTCTGATCCCCTTCTAAAAGCCTAACTTGTGCAGGGTTGTGGGAAATGACCACTTCTGTGATACAACAAAAAGGGCTTCCCAAAGACTGACTAACACCCCCTTTTTGCAGGGGGAGATTCCAACTTGTATCACAGAAGTGGGAATAAACCCCGAGTGATTCCACAACCCTGAACTTGTGGGTGAAATGAAAACCCAACCACGAAACTTTGCAACCCCCACCTCCTTGCAGGTAGTGTCCTCTTGGGCGTCTCAATAAAATCTCCAAGTCCGCATTCTAAAAGAAACACTAAACCCACAGGTAAAAGCCAAGTCGAAAGAGCAAGAAGAAAAAAAGGACGGATCCGAATGGCTGGTTGAAGCACCAAGCCCTCCAAAAGGGTTTTTCTCGTGTCCAACTTCGTCCGAGCCGCGCATTTTAGGGGCGGCATGCCCCCCAAATCTTGTTCGGAGGCGATGCGCAAAGCTGCCAGATCGCCTGCGCGTCGCTGCGCACGGGTCGGCTGTCGGCGTTTGTTTTTGTGTTTTTGATTTTTTCTCCGAGTGGCAACCAGAACAGGATCCTGCGGGCAACCCTGCATTTCGGCAATATAGAATTGTCATACACTTATATATAGATATATATATATATATGTATACACATAGAGAGAGAGAAACAGAATAAATATATACATATTAACACTGATAGAGAGCGAGAGAGAAAAACAACATGTATCTATGATATATATATATATACATACATATTAATATAATGGGGAGGTGTCAAAATTACGGGCACTTTTTGAAAAATCCTTTCAACAGGCGACACAAGGCGGCACAAGGGTCCAACAATTTTGGCCATAGTTTTGACCACTCCCCGATTTATATATACTATAAAACAAGAAATATGAAAACATAAGAAACATCAAACACGGGAACACCTTCAGTCTGCTGTTGGACATGAGTGCTTCTGGCATGCTGCCTGCTGAAAGTGGCTGGCCTCCTCTTTGCTTCGCTTTAACTTCCGTGGATGCTCGCGAAATAAGTTCGATTAAACCATGGTTGCAACCACAATGTTTCTTGCAGTATTTACGGGGATATCGAATCATTCCGTGGGGTTTCTTAGGTGAAATCCTTGGGTGGTGCAAAAAAAATCGCCCATCCACGGTATCAACCAAAAGTGGCTGGCAAACCCATTTGAGAAACTTCCATATGTGTATTGGTCTGCGCAAATTAAGGGGGGGTTCCCACAGGCAAGTGGTGGGCTTGCTCAAAATGGGGGGCTCCGAATCACATTTGGGGAAAAAATGTTCTGCGAAATCAATCCACAACATATTCCAGTCCTGAAATCTGAGTTGGTTCGATTTTTTGGTTTTGCAGCTTAATGGATACATGACCTAGGATAATTTCGCCCATCATGGTCAACAATTATAACTCCTACTGTGGATGGTTGCGAAATCCATTTCGGACAACCCAAGAAACTTCCCACAACCCAAGAACCTTGGAATGAGGACTCCCCTATAAATACCAAGAAGCAAGGGTTTCAACCATGGTTCCAAAGTGGTTCAAGATTTCGTCCATCCACGGTATGTAATCTCTAGGGACTATAATCCCCGAAGCGGTGAGCCCAGATCCCACTCTGCAAGTCAAAAGTGCGAGCTCACAACACCCTCACCTCACTAACTCGCTGTCTTTTCAGAGCGTTTCTGCCTTCAGCACCTGCTTCGGCTGCATCCTCCAGCGTGTCCTCTGCCGGAAAAAACAACTCCTCCGAGTTCAAACTCGGCCCGTGTGTGTTCAATGGGTATGTGCCAAAACGAATCGGATTCGTTTTGGCTTCCCTTTAGCATCCAAAAAGGATACCCTTCACCTCAAAAAAAGGACAAGCCCAACAGAGAATCCTTCACTAAGAGGCGAAAGGGAAACAACACAAACAACGCTGACCAATTGTGTTCGGCAAGGGGCTAAGTAATTGTACGCGTGACTCTCTTACAATCATGGCTCAATTTGGCTAAAGTCCCCCACAACCCCACTCTAAGTATGTAGGGTCTGGTGGATCCCTGAATCTTGCACGGACAGAACAAACCCTGGCTGGTGCTTGGACAACTTGCAACAGTTCGGGTATTCACCCGACCCTTACTGAAACTTTAGGTTTGCCACTATAGGCAAACGCCCCAACAGCAAACAAAGTCCCGGAACTCGGGGATTGAATGAGTCGTGTGTCTTTGGGGCGCCGCTTGGCTAACAACCAATCGAAACCAAAGCCCAGCCCGGTGCTGCTCGACCAACCGTTCTTTGGCCAAAGTGCGCAAAGATTGGACAGGATTTTCTGCATACCTCAGGAAAGCACATCGGAAAAATCCAGTGACGTCCCACCGGAAAAAGAAAAAGAAAAAAGAACGGCTCGAATCTGATCACCACTCAAAACTTGCTGGTGCTCAGAAGGGAATGACCCACGGTGTTGGGAATGAATGTAGGGATTCCCTTCAAAGGAAACCATATGGGATGGTCTTTCTGGGGCTCCTTCAATTTCTCGCTTTTTGCCCAGCAGAAAAAAGTCCGTGGGGTTACCTGATGGCAACTCCGTCCTCCCTTCCGGAGGGATTTTTTTTTCGGGGGGTCGACACCGGACGGACCGGAGGCCCCCGTGCACGTGCACAAGGAGACCTAAAATGGGTGTGGGTCAAAATTAGGTACCCAAACCCAGAATGAAGCCCTGGCAAATAGAACCAAGGACTAAAACCTGCGGTCCAAGTCCTGGTGGTTTAATTTTGACCCATACCCAAATGGGAAAATTGCGGGGGTCTTTCCACTAACCCAGAAGCACAGGTCTTTGGAAGCTTCAGGCACAGCTGGAGGGGTTTGGCCATGGGAGGGTCTCAAAATGGGGGTCCCAAAGCAACCAAAAGGGAACCCCCTCTTGGTTGCTGTTGACCCCCCTGCAAAAAGCTTAACTTTTTGGGGGATTAGTGGAAAACACCTTTATGTCCCAAAAAGTTAAAGTCTAAAGATCCAACCCAATAGCAGTCAAGCCCCAAAAAGATCCCATGCCATGCTGATGATAATGAACTCTGCGAGAATGAATGACCAGCTATCTTGGGACTGCCCAAGTGGACCAAGCGGTCAAGTTTTAAAAAAAAGACTGATGCCCAGCGGCGCCATTGCCTGCTCGTCCTGACCGGCGACTTCTCACCTCACGGCGATGGGTCCGGTGCGCATCTAAGGTCCCAGGTCATGGCCATCGCATACCGAAAGAGAAACCAACTTGGAGTAATTCTCGGTTGCTGTCTGCGAAACCCTGCTAAACCTTTAACTTTTGGTGGTTTAATACGGAAAACCCATTAGTTGGCAAAAAGTTAAAGTCCTAACAGCCACGCAAAATGCACCAAAGAATTGTCTGAATCACCAGCGAAGAAGTGGATGACCGCGTCTGTCTTTTCATGGCACACATGCTGATCCGCCCAACTGAGTGGTAATCGAAACCTGGTAGTAAAATGGTCTACCCAGAACCATGCTTCAAGAATTCAAAAGGCGGAGATCCGCACCCATTTATAGCTGATATCTTCCGGGGATTTGCTTCTGGCTCAACTGAGTCACACTCAAAGCCCGGCATTAAAATGGTCTACCCAGAGCCATGCTTCAAGAACTAAGAAGGCGAATATCCGCACCCATTTATGGCTGATATCTTCCGGTGTTTTGCCTTCTGGCCAACTCTAGGCTGGAATTAGGACCCCAGCAAAGTGGAAAACAAAGGGGACCCTAAAGAAGCAAAAACAAAAAAGAGAATGGGGAGCTAATTCTGGGGAAGAACTGAGGTGTGCACTAGCTGTTGCGAAGATGTCCAAATACTTCGGCTTTTGCCCAGCGCAATTGAAGAAGCAGTCGTTGTAGTCAGGGGTGGTGCCGCGATCGATGGGATCCTCCGCGTCGATGCCCACGTGAATGCGAACCTTCAATCCTCAGGTGAAAAAGCAGATTTACAGGGATGCTTTTTTAAAAGGGACACCACAAGGAAAGGCTACAATTTTTGGGGAGGTGCCCGAAAAACCACACACCCAGGGACCCACATACTCCTATGTGGCCTATGGTCATGGTTCCCTTCACAAGAATCATTGCAGTGGTCAAGGATCCTTCTCGAATTACGACCCCTGGCAAAACCCCATGGCACACGTGGGGGAACAATATGCGGATTAATGCCCACCAACAACTGTTGCGGGGGCTTCATTATCGAAATGCCTCGCCTTTTTAAGGTGGGCTGACGTTACAGGGAAAGCCTCGCCAAGAACAAAACAACAAACTCTTCCCCAAAACTACAATGGCAAAAGGCTTTCTTCCCCCCCGAAAAAAAAATAAAGGGGGGCCCTCCCCCCCACAAATAACCAAGAAACAAACCCAAAAACGCACTGCGTTTTACACCAACAAAAGGATCCGAAGAACTGGGCGGATGGACTCGACTCCGATAAAACCGCTAACACCGCTCGCCGGGGATCTGAAAGGATTGAAGGTCCTCTCGTACCTCTTCGCCAGTGTGGGTAGGAACCTCCCGAGGCTTTCGGCTTTCGGCCGGCAGCCGGCGGCCGGCGGCCGGGAACGAAGAAAGAAACCGCTGGGATTTTGTGCGTTGCCAATCCGTGCTACGTTGATCACCTTCTTCAGAAAACAACCAACTCGAAGAAAGACTGGATTTTAGCAGAACACTACACAAACCGGTTTTGGTTTCTTCCAAGAACCACCTTCCTTTTTCCTGGTTTTGGGTGCCCCTTGTAAGTAGGTTATACCCAAGTTTTTTTGCCTGGGGTATGCGACTGGGTTAGTTGGCTTACCATATACAGTATCACCTACTTACCTAGGCAACGAACATCGGCGATCCAACCACAACGCCAACTCCCTGGTGGCAAAAAATCCGCTTCCTCTCTGGCGGCTCGCATTGAGCTTGCTCAAAGAAGCAGGAGCCACTAGACTTCCTCAAACCAGAAGCTGCCATTGGCGGGTGGTTTCCCTTTACTGCTTTTCGAATGATCTGTATGCTCATTTGAAAGGGTTGAAAGGACCTGCAGTTTGGATATGATGACTAGGTTCATTTGCTGGTGATTTGCTTGATGTTTATCAGCAACAAATCAGCTATCCATAAAACGCTATCCAGCAAACTGACAACTAACGAGCGTATGAGTGTGGACAGGTGACAAAACAGCCTACCCATTTGCCACAGAGCCAACAGGAACAAAACACGCCTTGCACTCATATCAAATATTGACTACTCCGCTTGGGTATAAAATTGAGGCCAAATATATACACGTATGCCGCTGTCAACCGGTGCCACACCAAACCGAATCCAGCGTTCTCTAAACCGAGTTTGGTTCGCGCCCCAACGAACCTCTACCCCTGAACCTCTTCACTGTCTCGAAATCGGGGACCCACCAGAATGGGCTTCGGTTGTGGCTTCCCTTCAAACCAACCTTAAAACAACCTATTATTTCTCCCCCCCCCCTCCGCCCCACCTCTCGTAGTTGTCGGAGGACAGAAAGACCTTGGGCATGTTCGGGTCCGGGGTCACGTAGCTGGCCGTCCACATGCCTTGACATTTCTTATTTGCTTCGACCCCCTGAAAGCTTCAAGAAACGTTTTGACCGTTTGGTGGTTGAGTGCACGCACTCCACACCAAAATGGTGGTTTAGTGGGACACCCACTAAGCCACCAAACCCTAACTCTTTGTGGTTGTTCCCATTTTGCCCTGGGATTACACCCGCAAACAATTGAGAACCCAAATAGTCTAACAAACAAAAAAAAGACCAGGCTTTATCTGGAAATAGGCGAAAATACGGTGATTCCCCAGAGTACGGAATCTCAGGGCATTAGCAAAATCCTTACCCCCTACTCCAAATACCAACTTGTTTTTGTATTTTTTTGCAAAACCTGGGTTTCCATGGTAAATACCTCCCTTTTTAGTGGAGGGTCGGCATCATACCCTGAAAAAGATGGTATTTGGAGTGGGGGGTAGACTGCCCTAAACACCCAAGGAGATACTTGACAAAGCCACCAAGACACATGCCGCCGCTAGGCAGGCAAAGATGATGAGCAATGGGAACTTGGTCATCTTCACCTCGCCGCTGCGAAAGCTAAGTCTAGCAATGACTCTTTGGCTGTGGTCAAAACCCTGTACCCCTGGTGAACATCAAAATAGGTGAGCACCAAAATGGAACCATAGGTTCTGCCCCATGCCTATTTGGGGGTGGCACGTTTTCTGAAGTTGTTGCCCGGTTTAAGAGAGTGAAAAGGGGGGCCATCAGGAAAACATCCTGGATCGCCAATTGCTGCTTCTTTCCAGGCACTTTACCCCAAAAACCAGCAACAGTGACTGAAAATAGCGGCAACTTGGCTATCTATTTTGTGCGGGGGGGGGGGGTATTGTTTGACCAAGGGAACTTCAACATCTTCACCTCAAGCAAATTCAAACTGTCCCGAGATTGCTTTCATCTCGGCGCGGCCCTTTTGGGTCGTGAGCGAAACCATGGCTTCCTGCAAGGTGATCCACGTTTCCATGAAGCACCTCTTCCCCCGAAAGCTCCAAAAACTCGTACTGCAATTACAGGAACTGTCGATTCCCGACTAAAAAAGGGATCGATATTTATTGTGGAAAACCAGGTTGTTCTACATAAGTGTTCTTCTTGTTTAACAATGCGGGTGTTTGGAGTAGGGGGTAATTCTTGGGCACCAGCTAGTAGATGCTTTGTCCCAATATTCACACGAAGAAACGGGCATCCACGGTATGTTGATGTGCCTTGTTGCTGTTAGTGGACCCACCCACCCACCCACAACACAACACAACACAACACAACACAACACAACACAACACAACACAACCCAACCCAACCCAACCCAACCCAACCCAACCCAACCCAACCCAACCCAACCCCACCCCACCCCACCCCACCCAACCCACCCCACCCCACCCCACCCCACCCCACCCCACCCCACCCCACCCCACCCCACCCCACCCCACCCCACCCCACCCCACCCCACCCCACCCCACCCCACCCCACCCCCACCCACCCACCCACCCACCCACCCACCCACCCAACCCACCACAACCAAAAAAAAAACAACGGTTGTTATTGCTGGTTTCCTGTCAAAACCACGCAAAAAAAAAAAAAAAGGCCCGTCGCCTCGAACAAAGAAACTGCGCCCCTGGGCCGAAAGGGCGACTGGTTGGAAAGGGGTCCCCGCACCCTCAAACCGGCACCAGAACTGAGGTCTGAGCAAATGTGAAGAAGGTGTCGTGGAACCACCTGAGTCACCCGAAGCCCGAAGGACCACCACCAACCAAGGCCATCCATCCAGTTTCAATAACGGAAAGGGACAATTTTTTGGGCTTCCTCACAGCCCGAAAAAATGGCCCAACACATCACCTGAATCACCTCAAAAGAAAACAACAGAAACGAGAGCTGGGATCGCAGTGTTTGAGGACTCTCCAGTGGACCAAGTCCAATTGAGTGATTTTGGGAACACTTTCTTAGGTTCAAAGGGAAGCCAAAGGGAGAATCGCCAGAGGGGGTCTCCCCGCTTCGGCACAACGTTGGTTTGACAGCCATTCAGAGAGGCAGAAACGCGTTGCAAATAATAGCTAACATGGAGTACGGGTTCTCAGCTTCAACAGCGGAAAAAAACATTTCTTTGCGCCCCTGTGCAAGATAAACACAAATTTCCACAAAGGCCCCCGAAACCTGTAGCTTGGAAAAGGCTGGATCTACAGTCCCCTGTAATCTGTGGATGGCGAGATTTCGCACCACGGCTCAGAAACCCCTAAAGCTTCGATGCCCCGGAAAGTACCGTTCCAAACAGGGTTGTGGGGAATAACCACTTCTGTGACACAACAGAAAGGGCTTATCAAAGACCAAACCCCCATATAAAGGGGGAGATTCCCTTATATCACAGAAGTAGGGAAAAACCCCTTGATCCCACAACCCTGGTTCCAGACAATGGTTTCAATTTTGCCCATCCACGGAAACCATTCTATCTTTACCTGCACCCTGCCATTGTTGGTCAAAGTCCAAACTCCCTTCTTTCGGCCTGGCGAGTGTGTGTGTGTGTGTGCTTTTTCGTTTAAAAAGGCAAGGGGTGTCCTTTTCCGGGGTGAGTGAAGAGGAAAGCCGCAATGCATTTTGAAGGTCCCAAATCCCTATTTGGACACATACCCACAAACTCTGGTGCTTTTAGGTGGGAGAATGGTGAACCCCGAGCTTTGTGTTCCACCAAAAGGCGAGAAGGGACAGAAAGGTGGACGAGAAACCATACCCCGTGCTTGGCATGGACAAAATCCATTTCGCGCCCTGTAAATGCCAACCAGCATTGGTTTTAACCATGGTTTCAAAGTGGTGCGAAATGGATTTCGCCCATCCGCAGTATGGGAAAAGTATCGCCGTTGGCCATGCCCTCACGAAACGAGTGCACATCCCATGAGAATCTCACATTGACCCAGCAAATCCTCCCACTTCATGTACCCAGGCACCAAGCTAAAGGGGAATCGAACCTGAACTTAGCAACTCAACAAGCGAGGTTCCCGACCCTCCGCAAAGGGAAATTCTGTTGGAACGCCTGAGCCCACGCTAACGGTTGTCCTTGTATTTACCTTTAAAGACCAACCCCAGAAGGTTCCCAAAAAAACAGACACGGCCATTTGGAGTAGGGGGCGCTCAGTTAATCAGTTAAAACTTGAAAGGTTGGTCACAAACAAACCTGGTACCCTCTTTGTGTCATGTTGTTTCCTCTTGGTTTAAGCACAAGGAAGCCCAGGGAAAGTATGTGTCCAAGAGCCAGGTCTTTGGAGCAAGTTTTAGTGGTTGGTTAAGCAGCTATCTTCCTGATGTTTTTTTTCCCGCCATTCCCCTTCATTGGTGGTAAGGATTGGTGGCTTGGGATTTGAACCCCTGGTTCTGGTAGAGGGTAAATGGAAAACCCCGCCTTAACCACCAACCCACCCATCCAAACCACCAACTTAGAGGGAAGCTGAATTTGGTAGAGGGAAATGGGACACTGCCAAACCACTGGGGGGAAGCCGATCCTTTGGTGGGACCTTTTGTTTTGATTCGGTTTGGGGATTAGCTTTTGGTTGAAACCAACTGGTCTCGGACCCAAATCACGGGCAGGTTGTTCCAAGGTTCCCAGGCAGTCCCACATGGCGTGCCGCCCCTTGGTCTTCCTCCTTCTGATCTCAAGGTGATTGAGATGCAGGTTCTGGCCATTTTAAAGGAGTCCGATCCCAATTTTAAGACACGGGTGTGGCTCAAAATTAAACAGGGGGGTTACGCGGGTTTTAGTCTTTGGTTCCATTTACCAACGTTCTATTTTGGTACCGGGTTTTTGAGCCACAGCCACACACCCAAAAATAGGACAGCGAAACCTTCAGCTGGGCGACTTCTCCATCGGCCGCAGGGAATCGGCCTCGAGAGACAGCCCGCTCAGGCCAAAAGAAAGCACGGGGGCCTGTTTTTGGTTTCAAATGGACCGTGTTTTCAAATGGACACCCAAAAAAACAGAATTCCGGCATGTATGCTTTCTTCTTGCCTTTTGTTTGAACCAAACATCGGCCATTCTTATTTGAGGCAAACCCATGCTGTCCGGCGCCGCAAAATGGAGACAGGGATCAAAGTTGTTGAATCCCCTGCAAAACCTGAGTGAGAAGGCTGTGGGACACTACAGCGAGGCCAGTTGCTCTTCTTTAAGTAAGCCAACAAAGCCTGAACGCTCGAATGTGGAAGCAAGCAAGCAAGCAAGCAAGCAAGCACGAATGGGTATCTGTAAAAATACGGATTCCACAAAATATGTATATACCTCCTTGTGAGTGCCTACTACATCAACTTGAAAGATGACACACACACACACACAGGGACGTTGATCGGTGCGGCGTCAGCCCTTGCTGCTCAACTCCCAACCCGCAAGGTAACCTGAGATCCAGGGATTACTTTGGATCCGACGTGAGCCTTTTGACATGAACCACCGCGAGTGGGACAACAGGGCTGACTTCCAAAAAGGGGTTGTGGGGTACTTTGAAGCCAGATTTAGCCAGAAGAAAGGTAAACTATTGCAGTGAGGTTCGCCCCTTCCAAAAATGGTTTGGCCCAGGCCGCTGATAAATCCCTCGCGTGGGATATGGAATTGGCCATCCGTGGCTCAAATCTGAGGGTAACCCTTGCACCCGGAAGTCAGCCCAACCCCCACCCGTCACCTCCCAACTCGCCTCTGACGAAGGTGCAGCTCCCGAGGGAGAAGCCGCCGGAGTCGGCTTCCGCTGGAGCCGCTCATTGGCGCAGACCTAGGTGTGAGGTGGCCTATGATCAGTTAGCCTCTCTATGAATGTATACATATATATATATACACATATATACATGGAAACATATCTAGGTATCTAGAAATCTGCAAATCCACATATTTACATATTTGCATATGCCTGTATACAAAATACATATCAAGCTGTGTGTATATAAAGATATGTGTATTTCATGAACTGCCCGTTGTTGTTTGCTTGCAGGGCTGTGTGTGTGTGTGGTGTATGTTGCTTCTCCTTTTGCTTGTGTTTAATTCTGTGCATGGACAAAGATGGCCTCAAACGAATCCAAATGTCTTACATTGCCATCATGGCCCTGATGTTGTTCATAACACCCCCCTCGTTTGAGATACCCTCCAACCCAACCTGCCAGCATTCAAGTGGAGAATGGGATAGCAAAAGGCTCACAGCAACTGCCGGCACTCAGCTTGGTTTAAAGCCCGGTTGGGATTGAAAAGGAGGGGTTCAGCCCATTTGCCCTCCAGAACCAGGAAATGGTTTTTCAAATCCAAATCCAGTTTTGCAAACCACCGATCCGGCTCCAAACCAACAACAAAAACAGAAGGGGTGCTCCATGGGATGTAGTTTTCGCGCGGCAAAGCTCAGAAAACACTGCGAATACCATCCAGAAACAAAAAGAAGAGGAGAAAAACCAAAAAGGAGAAGAAGAAAAAAAACGGGGCAGTCAACACCTGCCGGCGCCTTACCCCCCCCCCCCAAAAAAAAAAAAAAAACGCGCGGGCGGCGATGGCCAAGAAGAAGCTAAAGTCGATGATGAAGTTGGTGATGATGAGGCACGCCTCTGGAGAGCGAGGAAGACTCGCCCGGATTCCGCAGACCAGTCCAACCAAACCCTGATTCGCCGCCAAACAGAAAAAAAAACGCACGGCACGTTGTTGAAGGTTCACCACGGCACGGCTGGGCGGCGCCGGTGGGACCTGGAACCGACTTGGGTGGTGCGCTTAGGTCTACTGTCCGAGCAACTAACCGATACTCCATACCGTTGCCTCCACCAAAGAAACAAAGCAAAAGAAGACCCAAAAAAACCAAAAGAAGACTCGTGCCAGACGGAGTCTTCACTGGGCTGCTCGTTTTCAGATCCCCTGCAAGAAGTGACTGACTTTTGGTGGGTGAAATACGGAAACTACCACTAAACCCTCAAAAGTTAAAAGGCTAAGGGGGTGGCTGGGAGCCACCAAGTTCAGTCTTCCAACCGATCTTTTTCTTCACCACCTGGGTGCAATCGGGAAGGCCTCCCAAAACAATGGGTGCAAGAAGTATCCCTTCTTTCCCAATCTCCATTTTACCCCGCACTGGTGCGGTTTGGTCCCAGGGATGAAAAACCAACCCCCAGTTCGTCTGAAAACCCTTCTTGGGGCTGCCCACCATACCTTGGTCATCTCTCGCGCGTCTTGTTTTCAGGATTTCAATCGACTCCCACGTTTTCTCTTTGGCGCAAGGGGTACCAACTCCAAACAAGACACACCCATATGGACAAGAGCATCCAACCAAAGGTAGGTGGGGCTTCACCTATGTGATCATCTGCAAACTCCAATAACGTTTTGATTTTGACTCGCCTGCCACACAAACTCAGAGTCAGTTGATCCAGAGCTGGTGCAAAAGTCACCCCTCCTATATGTCTTGTCTATGGGTGTTGGATTCAAAAATGGGTTGCCCAGGAAAAAGTAGACCGAAGCCTGTCCCTCCCCTGGTTGTTCTCTTAGTTGCAGACATTATTCTCTTGTGATGACTCGATTTGGGCCTTGCGTCCGCATTATCCTCGCTCTATTGCTTCAGGCCCGAAAAGTGCGCGACTTCTACCTGGACCCTCACACTACCCCGGAAAAAAAGAAGAGGAACAAAAAAAAGAGCTTCAAATCGCCTCATTTTCTTGCGGCAGTACCTCAAGTCGCCCCCAGTATCTTATGAGGAAATCTCCATGTATCAAGGTGGTTTGAGGGCCCACACCCACAATTCCCCCTAAAGAGGTTTGAGCCAGCTGAAAAAAAGATGTAGAATCTGTCCACTTCCTTTGGATTGGTCTTGGGTGGAAACACCCCCCCCCTACTCTCCCTACCAAAAAGACCCGACCAAATCGGTTTGTTCGAGGCAGAATTTTGGTGTTCCGGGGTGGAACACTCGTTTCCACTATTTACCAAAAAACAACTCCCACCCACCCCCCCCCCCCCCTGCCCCACCCTACCCACCCTACCCACCCTACCCCCCACCCTACCCCCCCCCCCCACCCCCCCACCCCCGTGTGGGACGCACCAGGCCAGGGCACACAGAACAATCCGAAGGTGCGAATGGAGGGGAAGTCCGAGGTGGCGTTCCTGGGCGCGTTCCCGCTCGCTCCGGACAAAGCGGCGGGTCTTCTGAGCGCTTGACGCAAACCGCATTTTGTCGGGAAAGCTGTTGGTTCCTGCGGGGAAATGGGCATTGTTGGCTTTATGATACTGGGGAAAACCGTGATTGATTGGCGGGAAACGCTGCACTCTTTCTTGCGCCATCCCGGAAAAAGGGGATTCCTGGCCAACATCACTGCCTTCTCACTGAAAGGCTTCCTCTGACCTGCCACCGGCATTCCCACCCCCACCCTTCTCCTCTTCGGGGGGTCAAAATCCTGACAGCAGTCTGCACAGGGCTATCCCAACTCGTTCGTGGGATGGATGCTGTCCAAACCCATCGAAACCACAGTTGAATTCTGGGACACGTGGTCTTGCATTGGCTGTCTGTCTCAAAACCGAAGCCCTTCTTCATAGGCGGCGTGCCTTTGGTCCTCCTTTTAGTCAGCATCCCACTCTTTGGTGGTTTGGAGCCCGGTGGTTTGGTGGTCGGGGTGGTGTCCCATTTACCCTCTACAAACACCAAGGGCTCAAATGCCGAAGCCGCCAATCCAGGCCACCAACCGGGCTTTACCTGATCTAAACAGCGCACAAAGGAGAAAAAAAGACAAATGAAAAAAACGGGCACCATCCCTTCCCCATCGAATCCATCCGGAAAAATTTGCGGCGCAGGATTCGAGAAGAAGGCGAAGAAGGTGGTCAGCGAAGTGCACCTCAGCTCGCTGGACATATGGCCATGGGTGAACATCCCCTAAATGGGTTGTGAATTCACCTACCCCAAAATGGTACCATGGGTTTTGACCCACAGCCATATGGAGGGTTGATCAAGAGGTGCCGTTAAATATGGGATGACCAGCGGGGAAACCTGAGAGCATCATGACATGTCCCATCAAACATACCCATGGTCATTTGGGAGGCAGGAACCTTGATCAAAAACGTGATACTGCGGATGGATGGTTGCGAAATCCATTTCGCTCGCACCATGACATGAGAGGAAACTAAATTGTTCATTAGTACCTACACGGGAATCGAATCATTCCAGGGCTTCTTCCGTGGTGCGAAATGGATTTCGTCCATCCACTGTATTCCACTGTGGAAAAGTTACCCATGATCATTTGGCGGCCTTTCACGGAGTATTGATCAACCCCCACATAAGCCACTCCAAAGGACGAGCTCAGTCGGAAATTCCCAGTAACATAACCACCCTGACTCCCTTTCGCAAAGGGAGGGATTCCCCCCCGAAAGAAAAAAAACACACAAGATTCCTGAACAACATAAAGCCCACATGTATAGACGCGTCTTCTCCACCGTTCATAGACAACTATATCTAAAACCCAAACGTGTGTAGATACATCTGTCAAAACATTCATCTTACATATAAATGTATATATATATGTGCTACCCTCCCCCCCCCCCCCCCCAGGGAGCTACCTTTTTGTTGCCTGTCCAGTGCATTGTTTGCCCATCTGGGACTGGAAGGAAAGATCTCTCAACTAGGACTAGGACCAAATAAGACTAGAACCAAGGATCTCTCAACTAAGGCTAGGACTAGACGACCTACCTCTGATTCTTATAATAATTGATTCTCAACTAGAACTTCCTCTGTGACGTCCCTTTTTTCCTTTCTAATTATTTCAGTAAACTAGGAGCAACCTGACACTATAGCCAAGGATCTCTCAACTAGGCCCAAACTAGGACTAGACTATCCAGCTCTACTTCTCGTAGTATGTGGATGTCAAGTATTACATCCTTTGGAAAGAAATTCCTGTGGAACATTTGTATTGAAACAGAACAGCATTTGAATTCCAACTTTAACATGCACAAATAGCTAGATGTCTTCCTTATTTTAAGTTCTACTGTTCAGATAGAAGTTACACAGAACTTGACGCACATATGTAGAAGAATTCATAAGGAACGTGTTTCAACAAATTAGGACCACACTAGGCCTAGAACCAAGGGTACCATTTAATTCATGTGGGCTTTAACAGAAGTTGATAAGGACAGACTTTTCCGGGGAATCTTGAACGCAGGCCGCGACTTAACCCGATTAAAGCCGATTTAAACTTAAATCGGGCATGGGTTCAACATTCAAGATTCAAGAGTCCAGGCCAAACTTTTCCAGGGAATCTTGAAAATTGAATCTTGAGGCCCGATTAAAGTTTCAATCGGCTAAAATCGTCTTTAAGTCGAGGCCTGCATTCAAGATTCCCTGGAAAAGTTCCCCCTGCGTTCTCGAACTTGAATCTTGAACCCAAGCCCGACTTAGGCTTAAATCGGCTTCAATCGGTTTAGATCGAGCCTGAAGCTTCCCGAATGTCCTTGCACATGTGTCTTTGTCATTCCTTTTCCCAAAGCCAAACAAGGTCGAAAACACTTCACATACCAGTGAACTCTTCAAAAAGGTAGCCTGGGGGGTACCACATACAGCTCTTCTTCATCCTCCTCACCTTCCTCTTTGACTTCCTCTTGGATTAACACGGGGGCTAGTGCTGCTGTTGCAGACGCCTTGTTTGCGGGTGGAGTGCCAGGCCCTGCTGCGCTACAGCCAGCTTGCGCGCAAGCCATAGTCACCAGAAGCCCTGGCTGTCAAGTCCAAATTGCAGCGCTGTCAGCTGAGCTGAACACGGGGCTTCAAACCCTTCAAGTGACTCTGACGTGATCCTGGTCTGGCGTGTGTAAGGGCCTGCGGCGCCCAGCCATTATTGTGGTTGACCAAAAAGCGGCTGGCAGGGCTCTCTCTCCAGCTTGTGTGTTTCAAAGACAACTCCTCTGGCAGCCATCACACCCTCCAGCACCTTCGGCCGAAGCTGCGCGAGGCTGCGTCCAGAACTCTTGGCCCAGCCACCGCAAGTAGTCTTGCCAGAGATGCCAGATTTGCATTGATATTCGGTGCTCTTTTTTGGCTTGCTCCTGTTGGTTTGTGGTAGCGAAGACTGTGGCTGCCAGCGCCTTGCATTTGACCCTTTGAGGCCAATGACTTCCTGCCCATTTATGGATGCTTTGGGCTGCTGCCGCCTTGCTGGGATACCGAATGGACCTCCTCATCTTGTGGGCTGGGCCCCAAGGTGCCTTGTATGTGAAGGTCCACCACTCTTCCTTCTTCCTGGTCTTCTTGCGCCGGAAGTCCACTGAGGCGACCAGCTGCTCGGCTTGCTTTGCAGGAAATGTTCCGCGCTGCGCCACCTTCACCCTCTGCACGCAGTCTGGCGCCGCCCACTCCATTGCTCTGCTCGCGCACTCTTGGCTGGAAAACCACGCAGGGCCAGGGCTGCTTGTAGCTAAATTAGATGTGAGAAATCGCTAAGTTGGCTTTGCACCCAATTCACCAGCTTGCCCCCCCCCCCCCCCCGCCGTAAACCTGGAACAAAAAAACGAATCAAGAAAAGTATTGGAAATTCCTAGGGTTCACAAACCAGGTTGTTGCCCCAAAGGTGGGTGGGGCTTTTTTGGGACTTGGACCACCCAATCATAGTTGTGGTTGTCCTTGTGGTTTCACTTTCAACCACCAAAACAAAGGCTACCAACTCCAAACAGCCCCCATGTACTTGTTGCCCAAGAAAATCCCTCGGAATCCTAGAAACCAATCTTCGCCTCTCTGAGCAAGGCACAGACAAGCCTTCGATGCGTGGTGCACCGCCGGGGACATCAACGCGCCTGGGATTCGGTGCAAGGAGCTTTCAGGGATTTGTTCGAGCAGCTCTCCTGGGAAACTTGTGGATGTGTCAAACAACAAGGTGAGTCACAAGCAAAACCAAGCGGCATGCAAAAAACAGCTTACCCATTTTGCATGTAATGAAATTACGAGGCGGAGATCCGCACCGAATTCCGGCTGGGACTGCCCCTTACTGACCTTCATCTGCCCGAATCGGTTTTGATGATGGCTCAGGTGGTGTTGCGGCCAGGCCCCCATCACGGGTCGTTGGTGGCTGGACGAACAGAAAACCTGCTGGCTTTTCCTTCTGAGTCGGATTCGATTCGAATGTTCGCCGTAAGGTCCCTGCTTGGGGCGGTTTGATTCTGCCAAGATTCACTTGGAGTGCTTCAAAAGGGGCCCCTTTGAACGGGGGGTCACTGAAGGTCGCTTTGAGTCTGTGGCAAAGAAAAACTTGGGTCGATCCTTTCTCAAATCCCGCAGACTCAGAAGAGTTTTGACATCTCCGCGCCTAGTCATAGCAGGGGGGAAGGCAATACACAAGGGAAGCTGTTGCCCCAACTTTTCCAGGCCCCTCATACTGTGGCTGGACAAACTGCTGCACCACCTTGAAACCATGGGAACCATGGTTTCTTGGTAATTAAAAAAAAAACTGAAAGGTGGTGCGAAATGAGATTTGCAGCCATTCACAGTACGGAGACAAACCCCACTTTTGCTTTGGCGGCACTTGGTTGACCTTGGAAGGGGAGCGAAAATTTAAATCTTAGCAGTTCAGTGGGGATTTTAACCACTAAACCACAACAAAGCAAAAAAAAATCAAAGGTCAAAATGTCTCCCAACCACAATATTGACTGGGCTGGCCTCAGATCCCCCCGCTACATGTTTAACTTTTAGTGAGTGAAATGGAAACTACCATCAAACACCAAAAGCCCAAAAGCCTAAGAAGGCTGAGGGAACCGGATGGCCTTCGGGAGGACGAGCGCCGAGGCTCCCCCGAAGAAAAAAAAAGCCGCGTCTGCGAGCGGCTGAAGTTGGTCGGCCGGCCATCCGCCTCCGCCTCCGCCTTCTCTTGGCCATAGGCGTCCTCCGGTTTATCCGGTTTCTCCGGCGTCGCGCGCTGAAAAACAAAGGCACGCGGGGAAAAGACGGATAAAACAAAAAGAGAGAAAAGGAGAGAGAGAGAAGAAGAAGAAGAAAAAAACAACGATGTTGGTGACCCTCCCGCGGTTGTGCACAGACCCCTTTAGAAAGACGACTTTCCTCTTGGAAACGGGCTTTGTGCACTTCCATGTTAGTTGGTGGGAGGGTGCTTCGTGGCGCGATAAACTTGCATTGGCGCGTCGTGGAAAGTGTGGTCGCCAAAAATCAGCGAGCGGGGGGGGGGGGGGTTGGGCCATGGATTCAACCTGAAACTGGGAATTGAAAAACGCACTCCAAATGGCGCATTCTTCAAATTACAGGGGGGAGTCACAAGAAGTCGCAAGCGCTACTGTCACCTCCATCTGGTCGGGAGGAATAAACCGCGCTAAAGAAACTTGGGCTCCCATATGGGTGTGCCTCAAAATAAGGGACCCCCACAAAGATGTTGCTTTGCCTGTGACCAAACGACACAAAGGGCTTACTCAAAGCAAGAGTTTGCAGCACCCAGGTCCGGGTCTTGCAACCCGCAATTGAGTTATCAGTCTGCTGGTACAATGGATCCGCAAAACGCATTGACTCAGAAGGGAGCCCGAATATCCGCGCAGGAATCATTGCAAGGCTGTCTCTTTCTGGTTGGAACCCCCACCACTTTTGAAGGCATGAGGAAAGAGATGGCATTCATTTCATCTTTCCTCACTCACTTTTGGTCGTCTCTCCCGTCAGCCGCGTGTGTCCATGAAGAACGGAATGACGGGCCGGCACTCATGAACAGTTTATGACGAAAGAAATCCCCGCCCTCTCTTCCATCGTTTCACTCTGGTTGGTTTTCAAGGAAAACCAAAGAAAATTGCTGCCACGGGTATCCACGTAACCCTTTGATCCCTTGTCCTTCTATGGATGGTTCCCTTGGTTTGCCTGGGTGTGTCTTGAAAGAGGGGAACCCCTCAAAGGGGTCGATTCCTGTAGAGACCCTGAAAAAAATTGTTTAGGGTTGGTTTGAAGGGAAACTAAGAGGAAGCCCGAAGCCCGAATTTCGGGCTCCAAGCCCCTATGCTAAGACACGCCCAAGTGGCTGTGGCTCAAAAACATGGTGCCTAAAACGGCACCTATCGGCAAAAATCGAAACGAAGACTATCACCTGCGGTCCCCAGCTCTAGAAAGCTCTTGAGCCTAGCTCTTTGAGGGAAACGAGTCACCCCTTTCCAACCATCTAGGGACTTTCCTTGTTGGAATCCCCAGACGGCTCATTCCATTCCCTCCTTCCCTCTCGGGTCTCCGGCCAGGCCCCAGAAGCCGCAGCTCAGTTGGGAGGGTCGGCAGAGGCGCGCACCCCCCACCCCCCAAAAAAACATCCCAGCCCCCCCCCCCAAGAGGGCCTGGGCGCATGGCTTTCTGGGCACCCCCCACCCCCAAACAAAAAGGAACCGAGAGCAGAAGATCAAAGACTTGGAACAGCGAAGTGAAGAAGGCATTTTCGCATTTCTGGCCCTGGCGGAATGATGGAACCACAGGCCGGTGTCTCCAAGAAAAGGTGATCCGGATGCCCTCTTGAACTGGACACAAACCGAGTCAACCGGGGCTCTGGGATTCATAGACCCCTCGTGTTGACAGGTGTCCCTTGGTTTAGTGGGGAACCCTCGCTTTTGGAGCCGCAACCCCCGTTTTTTCGGGCTCAACCAGAACCCCACAATCAACCCCATGAGCCCAAAATATGGTCGGAATCCCTTGACCGAAGCCGGAAAACAAAAACAAAAGACGGCTCCATGATGACGAAGGCATCGTCCACCCCCACGCCCAGAATGATGAAGAGCCCGTTCAAGTGCAGCAAGCCTCGATTTCTCCCCGGTGGTTTCCCCAGCCATTCCCTACGGGGTTTTGTTTAAAGGGAAAACAAAGGACACCACACATTTTCGGGGCTGTCCCTATTTGGGTATGGGTCAAAATTAAACCGCCAGGAATCGGACCGCAGGAATTTTGGTCCATGTTTCCATTTACCGGGGGATTCCATTTTGAGGTTACCATATTTTGACCCACAGCCATTTGTCCCCAAAGCGGGACACCGAACAAATTCCCGAAGGCTATGTTTAAAGAGGGGGAAGTGCGGCAATCCAAACTCAGAGAAGGAACCCGAGGCGAGATGTGGGCTTTTCTGTTCTTCCCAGGTGTCTTAACATAGGCGGAACCCCCGCAAGGTGTCCCCAAAAAACAAAGACGAAAGGGGTACCTGGGAAAAAGGGTGCCCTTTTCTCAGGCTGGTTTAAGGGGAATCCAAAGGACACCGAAAAAAAGAAGAAAACGAAAAAAGAAGAAAAGAAGAGAAGAAAAAAAACGCATTTGGTTCCCCCAATGTTTTGACACACACACACACCCACGCTTCTGCCACAGTCAAACCCGCTGACTTGGGGGTTGCTTTTTGGTCGCGGACCCAGGGAATCGATGCAAGCGATGCAGTCGGATTCCTTCAGAGTGGCTGTGGATGGTGGCGAAAAATCCGAATTTTCCGCACCACGAGGTGATACCATGGTTGAAAAGCCATTCTTTGCTTTGGTATTTACAGGGGAATGAGCAGAAACCAGGGTCTCTGAACGGTGGTGCGAAATGGATTTCGCCCATCCACAGTATGACCTACATAGGGAGTGAGGATGACACACATGCGGCGGTCTTTTCTTTAGTTGACGGTTGGTCTGTTCCTCGCAAGCTGCGATCCCTCACCCTCGCCAGTGTTGCCAAACATGGTTTCACATATTCACAGTCCTCTGGGAAAACTGATCTCCCTTGGAAAAATAGAGGACCGAGTTTAGAGGAAAACCCAAACAAAACAGGGAATTCGGGTATGTATACTCCTTTTGTCGTTGTTTGATCCGAAAATCAGCCATTGTTTATGGCGGCTCCCCTGTTTGAAGCAAGTTCATTTAGAGGGTGCCCCAAAAAAGACGCGGAGCGATGGAGTTAGGTACCAAAGTTGTTGAATCCCCTGCAAAACCATAGGAACATGGGTGTCCTTTTGGTTGAAAATGGACGGCCCTGGTAGGTTGTGAAACAACCGATCGGTCAACCAGGAATCGCCCTCTATGTTCTACCATATCAACCAATTACCCCAGCATCGACCCCAGATAGCATTTTTTTTTATAATACCGGTCGAGGATTGCACACTGCTCGCTGGCCAGATCATATCTCACATTCAGGGACTTCTGGATGCAAAGGGCACGGGTGCAATCCGAAGCTGGCAGCAGTTGAAGCTGGAAACTCTGTGAGAAGGTACCCTTCCTCCAACTAACATGGCACCTATGGGGAGGTACCTGGAAAAAAGAATCCTTTTGAAGGGACCCCCTGTCAGTTGCCATGTTAGTGGGAGGGAGGGTAGTTCCTGCTGGCTGCTCGTTCCTGGGGCCTTTCACCTGAGGGTGCCCAGATTGAAGAGGATTTGATTGAGAGTCACCCCACGGCGCCTGCATCACCCCAGCCCGAACGTCAATCTTGCAATGAGCCCACACCCCAAGCCAGCAGCTCAAACAGCACCACTCCAAACAGCACCCAAACAGCACCCCAAACCAGCGCCTCAAACAGTACCCCCAACTGCACGCCCGCTGGCACCCTGCCGTCAATCTCGCAAATCACCTTCCCCTCTTTGTCAGAAGAATACAACCCGTATGGCTTTCAACTACCTGGGGAAAAAGAACACCTTTCTAGGGGTACCTTCCCCTTCTTTCCAGGGATCCTTCTTTGCCTCAAGTCTGACGTGCCACCCTCAAGTCTCTCCTGCCTTAGGTAACGAAAAGAAATGGTGTGCGTCAACATGCACGGCTTCCTCGCAGGCCTTGAACAAGAAACTCGAAACACGCGCCTGAAACCAAAAAATAAAAAACGTGTTGGGGGGGGGGTTCTCAAAATGGATTTCTGCTGTCCCTTTTGGTTGGTGACAAAGAAACCAAAGGAAACCAGCTGTTTCGGGGCAGCGATGCCTATTTTTAAGCAATGTTATGGAGTGCCACACTATGGATGAATGCCGTCTGAGTGGCCGATGTACCTCTGCTGAAATACCAGAGTGTAGAGCCTGGGCTTCAAAAGCTCCACTTTGCGACGAATTTGCAAAAGCCTGGCCATGGCAAGACCGACCAGAAGGCCGGCCTTGGTACTTGATGCTCAACTTCATTTGCCTTCCCTGAGAGAGTATGTCCAGTGATAAGTTTTCTTAAAACCAGGGGAAACAAAAAAGTAGTCCGAAATGCAAATGAAAGTCAAGGAAACCCCCCCGTCTAGAAAAAGAAAAGGGCACCACTGCATGGAGGTCTGGGTGACAACTTTCTTGGGGGGTGAAAGCCCCTGAAAATCAGCGAATGATAGGTGAAAAACACCCCATCAAACTGCCCCGGTGTTGAAAACCCGGCAGCTCAGCTAGATGGGTGATTGCTTTTGGGGCCCCGGACCCCTCGGGCATTCCTGTCCACTTGGGTGGTACTCCAACTCAAGTTCATCGCAAAGCTCGGGCAAGGAAGCTCAAGGAACACCTTGCGGTCCCTTCTATTGGGATTTGGACCCCCCGAACTGGCGCCTCAGTTCTCCGGCCGCTTTTTCCAACTCTCAAACCCAAAAAAAAACGGGGACACTCCCCCCTGCCACTTGCCCCCGAGTCACAACAGGGCGGGTCCGAAGGCGAAGACGATCATCGCGATGATCTCGGAATTCGCGGGCTCGTGAACCAAAGGGACCGCGGGAAACCGAAGGGAGCCCAGAGGTGGTCAATGGCTTGGCTTGGCGAATCATTCGAAACAAGTGCGAGTTGGGATTGGTGTTTGGGATTAGTTGGGATTGGGGTACCCCGATAATTGGCTCACCTTTTAACTGTTTGCTTGCGGGTTTTCCCACATGTTGCCAAGTGGATGAATAAGATCCGACCGGCACCAATTGGGATTGGCGTTTGGGTTTCGTCCATCCCCAGTGCGTAAAACTATATCTTCTTCCGCACCAACTAGGGGATGCTTGGGTGTTCGACTCGCCAAGCAAGATGGCGAAAGGTAGCCTAGGGAATATAACCCACATCAGGTCCAGGGGAATGTGGGGTTGTCAACCAAGTGGCGTTTTCCACTTTCTAGCTTGGCCGGACTTCCAAGTTGGTGACCCCAGGCTCCAGGGTGACCCAAAGGGAGTCATCGCATCTCCTCAAATTCGAGTCCATCTGAGTCACAATCAAAACCCGGTATTAACATGGTCGACCCGGAACCACGCTTTAAGAATTAAGAAGGCGGATCTCCGCAACCTATTTATGGCAAGGGGATTGTCCCCTACTAACCTTCAATCTCCGGATCGGTTTTGATTGCACGTGGCTCATCTCCGCTCCTCAAATTCGGATCCGAATCCATCTGAGTGCCTGGCACAGACGCCCAGGAACAGCGAGCCGGTGGTAAAGGAGATGTAGGTGAGCATGAACAAAATGGCCCCCGTGATCCACACGGCGTCCCGGGGGATGTTGTAGGCGATGTACCTCTTGGAATTCGCGCAATTCTGGTCGGCGGTCGGGTCAAGTTGGCTCCGATCTGGAGTTGTTGGCGGGCACACAAAAGGGGTGCACCTGCAGATTCACGGAGCTCGCCATAGATTGGCGGCTGACAGCAGTTCAAATAATGCACGTATGTTGGACCATGTTTGGGGCTGGTTCAAAAGCCAAAAGGAAGACTGCTTTCTTTGGGGCCCCTACCGTGAATGGGCGCAATCCTCAACCCCGTTGAAACCATGGGAAGCCATTGGTTGTTGGTATTTGCAGGGGAAATAATCATTGGGTCCGGATTGTGTTGGAACTGGCAGGTGCGATCTCCCTTGGTTCTGCTGTGGTTTTGACTCGTTTTGCACCAGCGCTGTCAACATCCCCGGCATCGTTTTAACTCCGCATCCTTTTCAAGATCCCCAGCATCACAAGTTGGCTTTAGGCTGGGCTTGGGGTGGGTTCAAGGTGGGCCGAGGGTTCCAACACAAGACAAAGGCCAAAAGGTTTTCCGGCCTGTGAGCAAAAAAGACAACAGCAGCCAAAGGCCAAAAAGCCGAAAAGGCAAAAGCCTTTTTAACCGAAAAATATTCAGTAGCCTGGAAGCCAAAAGCGACTCCAAGAATCCAAAGGCCAAGCCAAGAAGCTAAGCCAGAGAAGGTAAAATGCAGGAACAAATCCCAAAGGAAAACGGGAAAAAATATTTTACAAAAAATAGCCCTCCATCATGGGGTTTCTTAGGTGGTGCAGGATTTCGCCCATCCAGAGTATGTTGATCCACTCCCACATCAAAAACCGAAGGGGTTGGCTCTGTTCGTTGCTCTTCATTTGTTTGCTCTGGCTCGTTTGCAGCTCGCCAAGAAGGTGTCAAGCGCAATGGGTCGGCTTCTGGGTTTCATCATGTCTGTCGTAAGTTGGCACCTACCTTAAGCATTGGACAGGACCCTCCGTTGGAGAAATCGGTCGAATCGGGCCGAAACCCATTGGAAGGTTTGGGACCTCGAAAAGGCGTAACGCCAGTTTGAGGTACCAAGAGTCTTAGGGTCTGACCTTTGCTGCAAACTGGCTTCTCAAACCCATCGTCATTCCGGCTCACCCTCCCGAAGAAAAAAATCCCACGCCAAACCAAAAGTCACCAGGGCCCTGTGATCATGAGGGAACAGTGATCGGGTGAATACGACACGACCCCCCAACCCCCCCCCCCCCCCGCCTCTCCCGCCCCTCCCCCTACCCCCCAACCCCATTTGCCCAAAGGACCCGGAAACAAAGGCTTCACCTTTTGGGGCCAATATGAAAACTACAAGGTCAGATCCCGTCGATTCGATTTGCAAGTAAGCCTTTGGTCGCTAATTTGAAGGGAGACCCCCGAAAAAGGGTAGAAAACAGGGGGGATGAGGGGATGAGGGCGTCAATTTCTGCAAGGCGCTGCTTCAGCAGCGGGCTCCCGTTCTGCAGGCTGTTCGCGTCGAAGGACATCCTCAGCTCCGAACACGTCGCTCTCGCTGGTTGGGACACTTTAGAGGGTAGATACGGATGGACGAAATCGTGAGAAACCTGGAATGATGATTCCTCTATAAGTACCAACAGACAATGAAACCAAACCCAGAGACACCATCCTATTTGGAGTATGCCAGTACTTTTCACACCCATACTGTGGACGAAATCCATTTTGCACCACCTATCAGAAACGTGTGAATGATACGATTTCCGTGTGAATGCCAAGAAACCTTATGGTTTCAACCATTGTTCCAAAGTGGTGCGAACGGATTTCGTCCATCCCACAGTCTCACGGCCCATTCGAAGCCCGCCCTGAAGTCCCAATGCAGCAGAGGCGCTTGAAGCCTGGCGAAACGCGCTCGAGCACTCTCATGGGTGTCTTTTTTGGAGTTGCTCACCCCTTTGTGGCTGGGTTTTAGACAAAAATCAAAATGAACACTGGCCACGTCGTGTCTTGGTTTCGAGGGCACACCCATACGGTGCGCGGGATTTCATGACTCGATTTCTTGCACTGCACTCTTCAAATGCATTCCTCGGTACTCTCTGTGCACATCCTGCGTTCACTCCATGCCATGATGCACTCGAATCGCATACTGAAATCTCGCAGCTGCCTTTCGCATTCTTGTTCTCTTGCACCAGCATGTCATTGAATGTGTTGAAGATCCATTCCATCAAGTAGTCGGACGCCTGGTGCAAACTCCCAAATTCGCCCCTCACTCCTCATCCCTTCCTTGGTTCAAGCCTCAAAATGCTAGAGACCCCCTTCGAATGGCCTTCAAAAGGTCCTTTTCCGAAAGCAACCCCTTTCTGGGGGTCTTCAATTTGAGAATCTCCGTGTCGAACTTCCCCTGACCATCCCAACCCCAAGAGGAACCGAAACCAAAAACCTCGGCCGAGTCGGCCGAGGCATGGCCTCGTTGCGCCCCTTGTCGCCGGTGAGCCCCGTCCAGGCCGGATTCACGTTCCTGGGATCGAGCGCGGTTTCAGTGCCATGTGTGAGATAACTTTTGTCGACCTGTGGCGCGAAAAAAAAATGCACCAAGATGGCGCCTCTGTAAATGGAACCAACAACTAAAACCTGCGTAACCCTCCGTCTTGAATTTTGAGCCACGTCCATACAGAATTGTTTGGTGGATGCTTGCGAAATGCATTTCGCCCCACCTCGGAAATTTATGGTTTCTGAGGATTTCCCAAATGTAAATACCTACAATGGCTTCCCATTCCTTCAAAGTGGTGCGGGATTTCGTCCATCCACAGAAGGTTTGTATGTAACCATCTATGTCTTATGTATTATGATACATTGTTTGGCTATGCTACAACTAAGTTGAGCTGGTTTAGTGAAAAAAGAAGTCTGTCTTCATGTGTGAAGCTACAAATATGTGCAAAATGATGCAGGTTGGCTACGTCCCCTGCAACAATCGAGGAAGCTGGCAAAAGGGTTTTGACTTACATGATAGTTGGAGGGAGGGAACATCTGCATTCAAAGGACTTCCAAGGATCCACAATTGGATGGCGAACGAAATGATCCACCCTTGTCCCCTCCAAAAACGGGTTCGCCAGTTAGACCAAAAGACGCTCCAACCGCGCCGTCACGCCTCTTCGCCTCTTGGGTGCCCTGAGTCTCTCATTCTAAAAGGGGTGGTGAATTCACCTAGCCCAAAATGGGATCCCATTGGTTTTTACCCACAGCCAATTGACCCCAAAATGGGATACCATTAGTTTTGACCAGGCCATTTGGGAAACATCCCATGTCCAACACTCAACTTTCAAGCCCCCTGGTTTGATCCTCAAAATCCATCAGAAGCCCTTCCCCCCCACACCCCTTTTCGAGTGGGACACCCCCCCCCCCAGTTTGAGGGATGCTTTTTGAGGGGTGGCCATACCAAAAAGAGAGAGGCCAACGTTGAACTCCAACTCGAGCATCAAATTTTACTCCGTCTCCCAGGCTCCTCAGTGGGAACCCGAAGAAGAAGAGGGTGTGCAGCGACTTGACCTGGCCGCAAAGCCACCCGAATGAAGCCACCAGGCGCTGGAATCCCCGGCTTAGCTCCCAAGGAACGGCCACTGGCAACGAGCCACACCCCCCGGCAGTACTTCGGCTCGCTCCCTTTTTGCCCTCACACAGTCAGCCCGCGCGGTGTGTACTCAAAGCCGGGCAAAAAAAACTGAGAGCTCCCTTCACGATAAAAAAAAGGGGGGGAAAAACACGAGGGCTCTCTTTTTTTCCGACCTAAAAAACCTCCGGAGAAAAACAAATCAAGGCAAGCTTCCTTTGACAGGAGAGCTCAGCCGCCCAAAGAGACATGCCGGAGAGGCACCCAGAAATGCCGCGACTGCAAGCTCTGCAGAGAGCTGGTGGCTTCCAGGCGCGCCCAGAGTCATGAAAAAGGAAGGTTCCGTGTCCAAAACAAACAGCAAAAGCGTTCAAGGAAACCACTCCTATTTTGTTAGCCTTATTTTTTGGGTGGGGTCCCTAAAAAGGCGACACACGCAAAAAAATCGCCCGACAGCTTTTGAGCAATATCCCATGTTCGAGGGTCTCTCCACAAACAGCTTGAGCTTTCTGCATAGAAGGGAGATGGTCCAGCCGCCTGTCTCTCCTTTTTGTCAACGGAAAAGGAAAAAAGGAAAAAGAAAAAGAAGAAAAAAGAGGAGGAACAAAAAGGAGAAAGAAAAAAGGGAAAAAGGGAAAACCGCCTGGGTGTTGCGCTTGATGCAAACCCCGTAGTTCCGGATCTCGCAGCTGCCCGCGTCGTCGTCGCCGACCCTTTCGCGTGCGAGCGAGCATTCTGTGGTGAGACTGCCGGAATCGGAACGAAGGTAAAGGATATTGCCAGGTGTTTAATCCGTGGTTGAATCTGGTCGAAGTGTCCAAGTGGTTCAGATTTTTCACAGCTAAAACAACGCTCAGACGTTTCTCCGCAAAGTCATCCCTCAGACTGGATGTGTTCTTAGCTGGTCAAAGACTGATGCAAGTCTTCGTTGCCAGAGCAAATGCTAGGGAAAGGGAACTCATGAAATCATCCTACCCCCACCCCCAATTCATAGCCGACTCTACCGCTTGCCCATATGAGTGCGCCTCTCATTTTTTGTTCGAGCCCTGTCGTTTCTCTGAGCTTTCCTGTTGAAACCATCCAGCACGAAAACCACCTATGAGAAACAGCCAATGTCTTGGTGGAACGGCTCTTGTGCGAATATTAGCACAGACATGAACCGATGCTTTGCAGCTCAGATCGGCGCACTGACTGCCTGCCCTTCCATGGTTTCCAGTTCCCCTTTCCTTTCCCCTCCCTCTACATACTTCCAAGAGGGGAAACCGACAACCACAGGCAATTTCGACACTTTGACAACCCGCCAACCTGCAGAACTGCTTACAGAGCTCCGATCACTAGCTGAAAAACATCTCCCTCTTCCGCAAAAATTGTTTGGCAGAAACTCAGCTCCGAGTGCGGCCAGCAACCTCCCAAGCACCAGCCAACCCGCCCACCCATTCGTTTTGAGGGACCCAAAGCCGCCCAAACCGCGCCCAACCGCTGAACCATAGGCGTCCTTTTAGGGCAAATAGATGGGTTTCCTGGTAGATGATAAACCACCAGGTAAACCAGGGAAACCCATCGATATTTCGACCAAAACCACCAAAAAGGACACCCAACCGCGCTGAGTTCTTTTCTCTCCCAGCGGCACGGAGAAGAGGTTGGGGAAGCGCTTGGGAAAGAGCATCAGCTGCTCCTTGGCCCCCACAGCAGCGGCGGCGGGCAGCCCCAAGCGAGAGAAAAAAGAAAAAAACTGATTTTTTAAGGGACGCCCAAAAGAAGAAAAAACAAAAAGCGTGTTGTTGTTTTGTTGCTTGGGTCTTTGTTTAAAAACCGTCAGGGAAGTGGGTTGCAACCATGGTTTTTGCAAAAACCGATCGCTGTTTCCCCTTGGATTCTGTCGGTTTGCTGAAAAGAAGGATCCCTGGAAAGAATGGGTGTTTGTTTAAAAAAAAGTCAGGGAAGTGGGTTGCAACCATGGTAACTAGGGTAATTGGAAGAACTGGGGTAAGTGAGTCGTCTTGCTGGTGCGAGAGATGCAGGGAATGAGAAATGGAACGACCGAGAGAAACCATCCCCGATCTGGTTTCCTGAAGTCGGGAATGCCCAGGTTCATTCCCTACTGAGCACAAGCAAGTCGTTGTTTGCTTGGATGTGCAACCAACGTCAGGAGAGTGGGTTTTCAACCATGGCAACTAGGGTAACTGGGATCAGTCGGGACCCTAACCAGGGTTATAACCTGCTTAAGTCGCTACTGCGTGTGGATGGTTGCGAAATCCGAATTGCATTAGCTGGTACGCGGTTTATCAATGTTTGTCCCACTATTTATAGGGTTTCCGCTATCCCAAGCGGTGCGAAATGGACTTCGTCCGCCCTCAGGCTACATAGATTGCAACCATGAAGTTATAACTAGGGTAACTGGGCACCAGGGTTATATCCCACTTGCCTGACGTTGGTTAAACACCAAGTACCCCATTAGAATTGGGGAATCGGCTGTTTGGGGGAAAGGCCTTCGACAACCGGGCTTGACAACCGCTGGAAAACCAACCCAACAAGAACCCTGAGTCTTCATATCCATGCACAAGCCGCTCTTTCGTCTCATGGTGGGTTGCCTTTTGGTTTGTTGTTGTTCTAGGGGTTGATTCCCCATTCTTTTCAACCATCGTTCTTTTCAAAAACCAACTGTTTCCCCAGGGTATTGGGTGGTTTTGTAGAAAGAAGGGTGCCTGGAAACAATGGGGAAGGTACCCCAACAAGAGTTATACCGACCTTTAAAAGGGCACGCTGCATCTCAAAAAAACGAGCTTCCCTCGTTTGGAGCCTGGTCGTCAGGTGTTCTGGGGGGGAGGAGATCCCATTTGCCCAGAAGAACCAGGGACAAGTTCAATCCAAATCCAGCTCCGACCAGGCTACAAACCACCAATTTCTTGGGTGTACCCTCCATATGCGAAAAATACGCCCCCGCTAATAATAAACTAAATTGCTTGCAGTAGTGAGTTCGCTTGCCCTATTAGAACCAGGGCTTCCTGCACATGTCGCTCCACGGGACCGAGTGAAACGTCCCCTTCAACCGCCTTTTGCCGCCCAAGAGGCTGTGCCTAGGTTGTCCCCGGTGAAGGCGATCCTGCACAGACGAGGATTCCTTTCGGGAAGGGGTCCTTCCGTTTGCTTAAGCCACCTGGAACAAACATTCAGTAGTGATAAAAACCCTTTAAACCCAAGAAGAGGAAACCATTTCAAAAAAATAAAATAAAAAAATAATAATAAAAACTAAGCACTGCGATGGTTGACAGGAATGAGGAAATCAAAACCTTCCAAAACTGCGACAAGCCACAACCTGGGCTTCGGGAGCTTTCTGGCTTCCCTGAATCAACAACTTCAGAGAAGGGCGTCGCGCGTCCCAACTCCAACCCACACCCGGGTCAGGACCCCTGCTCGACCCACCGTCCTTGGGATCGTTGGAGACGGGTTTTTGTTTTCGCCTTTTCGCCCTGTACGTCCAAGTCGAACTCAGTCTGCGATTCCAACTCATTCCAACTCAGTCTGCGGTTCCTGAAGATACCGAAGTGAAGAAAAGTATAGGCCTGCCCAGCCGTCAATCTGCCGTGAAAGGATCCTTCTACATGGGATCGTGTCTCAGGCTTCACGTCAGATCCAACTCCTTCCAGGTTCCCCTTTCTCCCCCCTTCGACACAAAATAAACACCAAAAAAACCATCCAAAACAAAACAATGGCAAACATCCCATCCACCTAACTTCAAGGGCTTTCCTACAAAATCTCCTTCCACCCACCCCCCCCACCCACCCCCCCCCCACCCCTCCCACGACCTAGCTCCGGTCCTGTTGCCGTTGCAGGCCCAGCCCTTGGGCAAGTCGTTGGGGCTATTCCTCCGCCGGCACTCGCAGGAGTTGGTGCTCCAACGCCGTCGGCTGATCATCTTGTTCCTAAGTCTTAGTCGTTGGAAGGGGAGCAAACAAGATGTTAACGGTTACGTGGGGGGGTTCAACCACTAAACCACAGTAAGCAAAAACGTAAAAATGTTTCCCAACAACAACCATAAAGTGACCTATTTGATGTCCCGAGAGAAGAGAAGAAATGGGAAACAACGCGGGAGCAGGGTCGACTGGCCAGGGACAGTGAATCATGGCGGCGGTCCGTCTTTGTATTTGACAGGGATCCTTACATTATACACCTGAACATTGCCTTGCAAATGGTGGTTTCCCTTCATTTTGGTGGAAAAAGCCATGTTTCAAATGGTTGCAAAATGCATCTTTTAAGTAGCCTTGTTTGAGTTGGTACCCTTTTGGGGGGGTGGTTTTAAAGGGAAGCCCAGGGAAATCGGTATTGACATCATCTAGGACCATGCTTCAAGAATTCAAGCGGCGAAGGTAACTATTTTTGGCTTTTGGCTGTTTCTCTCTCCCAACTGCTAAGAATCAGCTCATGTGTTTTACCTCTCCCAAGTTGTGGGGGTCAATAGCTGATCCATTTTTTGCTGCTGGTCCGTTGAAACGCTCGCTTTGCTACCGTTTGGAGCTGGAAAAACAAGAAGCCCACTGGCTCGGAGAGGTGTTGCAACCAAAGACCTGTTGGTTGCCAATGAGGTGAAAGAAGGTGTCTTACCTTTCTGGATGCTTTCAAAAAAAGAGGACCCGGCGCCTGGAATTGTGTCCCTGGAGGATTCCCTGCGACGGCTTCTGAGATTGGAGTAGTTCAGGAAATTCTCAGCACTTGCTTGTTAGTGTTAACCCCATATTTATTTTCCCCAGTTTGTGCATAGGGGGCTGGTCCTCTCCAAAAGTGGTCTGATTCCCCACTAAAGCCACGGACACCCCCCTAGTAATAAACTGGCTCGGTGAATGATCATGGGGCTCGCTCACCGCAGTCAAGCCCAAGGCCTGGATTTGGCAACTTGGCTGAAACAGCACCAAAGGGGCCCCCCTGCCTTTTACGCCTCCTCGAAAGTGCTCTGAGCGACTCTTTCTGCAAAAAGCCCTTTGCAACAGAGAAACATGGCTGTGGGTCAAAACCCTGTACCCCTGGTGAACATCTCGGCTGTCCTGGCCTCAGATCCCCCGCGAAAAGCTAGAAGCGAGCGGCGCAAAAAAAAGAAGCTTAACTTGTGGTTGAAATGGAAACCCAACCACCTTTCGCCAACTAAAAGCATCTCAAAAACCTAAAAAACCGGACGATTCGCCGAGAAAAAGTCCCTGTATTGAAACATAAGGAAACCCTCCGATATTTGCCGCGATTTACCCAGGTGTTGTGGTTGAGTATGGTTGGTTGACCTGCAACATATTGTTGGCGGAGTTCACAGGAAGAGGGGGACAACCTCCTTGGAGGTGGAGATTGAGACATCCCCATGTCAGACTGCTGTCGCGGCATTTTGAGGTCTTTTGGGCTCCATAAGCCATGGCTGGTCCAGCCTTCCTCTGGTCTTCACGAGGGTTCCCTGAACCCAAACTCTCGCAACGGGACCCACGGCTTCTTGCCGGATTGGGTGTTCATCGGGGAGTCCACGTTGCGGGCCCAGACCCAGAGACCAAACCCGCAACAAGTCTGTGCTGTGCAAAACCGGACCTTGATGAGTTGGCTTTACCCACTTGCAAACAAAAACTGACTCTTGTCTGTTGCATGCCACGAAAAATGAAAAAAATCAAAATGAGAGGGAAAAAAGGGGGAACATGAAAAAAAGGCAAAAAACATAACGACCCAAGAGAAAAAAGGCGTTAAACCCGCAAACATGGACCCTCCCACGGAGCTCGAGTCGGATTCCCAGAATGTTTGATCATCCCAGCTGAGCGTGTTGCAAGGAGACTTCCAGCCGGGGATTGAAACGCGAGACGGCCCAAACTACCAAAAGCTTCCGGCAGCCCAGGGCGTTCGAGGGGCAAGAACCAACACCCCAAGCTGCAGCTTCAAAGAAACTGCACAGAAACTGCTAACCACACCAACTCCCAGAAGAACCAGGGATTCAAATCCAAAACCAACTCCAAGCCACCCAAAAAAACTGGGGGGGGGGGGGGGGGGGGTTCCCGGAAAACCACCCAAGGCCTAACACAAACCGAAGCAGAAGAGGAGGAGCCAAAAGCGCGCCGCGTTGGGCTCAGAGAAACTTGCGGCAAGGGGCACACACTGCTGCGTCGGCCCCCGCGCCGGGTTGTCGATGGTGTTGTAGAAGGGCATCGGCACCTCGGCGGATTTTGAGGTTGGCATTTGAACGGAGCGCCGAACCGAGAAATGAACAAACATTTCGGGCGGGACCCAGAGGCTCACGATGCATTTAGGGCCCTACAGCCAGGTTTTGAGACCCCCCAACACCTGTTGGGGGTGTCTAATGGAGGGGTCGGGTCTTCCATTGAAAGCCCCAGCCACTGGGTGCTCTTCTCACTCCCCAAGTTCCCTTTCGGACTTGTTTGGTCCCTTTTTGGGGCTTTGGACCATGCCAGCCTTTTCTCACCGAGCCAACTTTTTTCCCATTTGTTGTCCTTCTATTATTATTATCATTATTATTATGGTTTGGTTTAAACAAGTTTATATATATTTAAAAAAAAAAAAAAAAAAAAAAAAAAAAAAAAAAAAAAAAAAAAAAAAAAAAAAAAAAAAAAAAAAAAAAAAAAAAAAAAAAAAAAAAAAAAAAAAAAAAAAAAAAAACGGCGGCTTGCAACGGCCGGAGCCGCACCCGAATGGAGCGGTCGAGTCATTTGCTTGGTGAAGCACGAACAGCCGCTCGGCATCCTCTGCAGAGAGCCGAGGGACATGGGTCAATTACAACAAATCCAGTTCCCCGGCTCCAAACTTTCAATCCGCCCCAAGTTTTTTCATTTGTGGGGATACCCGAACCTTGCCGACATAAGGCAAACCAAACCGCCCCAAGTTTTTTTGGGGGGGATAGCTGAACCCTGGAGACAAAAAGCAAACCCGATGGCTGGCTTTCGGAAGTTGCCCCAATAGAACGAACCAGAGGAAAGTGAATGGATCAAAGGCTGAACCAAAGTGGCAAAACCGATTCATGGGATCCACTGGGCAAGACACATCTCTCCCCATGGTTCCGATTCGATTGGATTGGGGGTCCCCAAGAAGGAACTGAGGAGGTCCCCCTATTCCAAGAGATCCGTCCATGTGCTTTTCAACACCATTGTTATTTGCTATCCAGTTTGGTATTTTGAGAAACATCCACTTGACTTGCTGGTTCTCAGCAGGGAATGAGGGAATGACAGCGAGAAAACTCTCCCATCCCTAGGTTGGTTCCCAAAACTACCTATCGCACCAGCAAGTTCAATGGAAAAGGAAAATAGAATCGACGGTGCTGAGTGACCCGAACCGAATTGAGGATGAATCGAGCTGCATAAGGGGAAGCAAAAGATGTGGATAGCACACGACGTGTTCGTGCTTGTTCGAAACACGAATGAGCAGGATGTGTGTTTCTGGTTTCAAAAGACTAGGTGTGGACAGGCTCATGGACTCCACCCCCCCCCCCTCCATCCCCCCCAACAAGGCCTCAATATCACCTTGGCTCAAAGGAAAACCATGAGGACAACCACGTTTTTTGACCCTTCCATTTTGACCTCTGCACCCATTTGGGTCTTATTTTGGGGGAATAAGCGAAAGTTGCGGGGGATTAGTGGGGGTTGGGGGATATTCAGCCTGCTTAGTAACTAGCTTATCACCATGGTTCAAAGCGGGACTGACCCAGTTACCCCAGTTACAACCTTGGGTCTTGCCTACTTGCCTGACTTGGGGCAACGAACATCCCAACTGCTTGGTTGAGATCTCTTCGGCTGCGGCGCTGCCATGACAAACGGGTGGGGAATCACCCGGTCTATGACCCGCCGCCGGGCATAGAAGGCATGAGCCCCATAGTCGCCTCAGCGCGCTCCGCAGCCTAACCTGGCCCGCCCTTTGCATTCCACGTTGCCGGGGAAAAGACACGCGCAACCAGTGGTGATACTGTGGATGGACGAAATCCTGCACCACCAAAGAAACTCTGGAATGATAGATCCCCTTGCAAATACCAGCCAAAAAATGGTTTCAAAGCGGTGCAGGATATTCCCTTCAAAATTCGCAGGGGAAAGTGGACGAATTTATTCTGCAGAAGTGGAGCTAAAGGGGTCTACGACCTGCAATTTGTCTTGGCCACTCTTGTTCGGAAAGGTTGCGGGGGTGTTGATGTTGCTGCCATCTGCATCTGCTTTGCATTTCTTCAAAAAACATCAAAGTCGTCAGTCTCCAGCGTTTTGCTTTACCCCTGGCTCCAAGTGATCAGGGAAGCCACCAAAAAAGATCGGACTTTCATCACGAAAGAGGGAAAAGCTACCTATGGTCCGAAGGGAATATCGATCAACCCCCAAATTTGCAGTGTCCACGTTGCCATGTTCCTTCAGGGGACCATTTCGCTGGTGTGTTCCATGCTAGACCAAAGGGGAAGTAGAAGTTGGGACCATGCGATTCTGAGCAGCTTGTTCAGCAGGCCTTCTGATCGAAATGTCGGGAGCCTGCCGATCCAACCAGCAAGTGAACTTCAGGCGACCCCGCCCTGAAAGGCAAAATCAAGATGGCGACTCACTCGCATCTGCGACTCCAAGCAATTCATTGGATTTCTTTCCAACCCAGAGGTTATGGGCTTCCAGAATAGTGTTGTTTGCAACCTCCTACTAAAAATGAACAGCACCAGAAACAACGAAAAGACAGTAGCGCGTCCCTAAAACTCTTCCCTTCACGTGAGGCGGGAATTTGCACCTGTCAGCTTGTCTGAGATTTCCTGGATGCCCTTGGAAACGTCTCAAAGATTCATTGAAAACAAATGTTGAAACGCACAATTGCCACCTTCTTTTTGATAGATCTCCCAAGCTCCTAAAACCTGTTACCTTCCTGATAAAAGTCCGCTGCCTCTTTGGGAGGTCCTCTTGAGCATGTGGGGTGTTCCTTTTTTGGAGTCGGCCCTTGATTTCGAGGGAAGAACTAAAGAGACTTCAACGGGAAACCGCCCAGTGAAATCAGCAAGCGTATCATTCCGTTGGGTTTCTTTGATGGTGCGAAATCCACGGTGGGAGCTTCACTGCCGAGACACCCCTCAAGTCTCCGCACTGGGTATCTTTCAGTATTGGGTTTCGTCTCCGCCGAGTGAGGTGGTCGGGATCATTGCAGGCGCGATTGCCTAGGCCAGTCTCACTCGAACACGTCCAGACCACGCAAGCAGGCCAGCCAACCAACCAACCCAACCCAACCCCACCAATCCTACCAAACCAACCCAACCCCACCAAGCTAGCCAAGGAAACCAACCGCGTGATTCTCGCATCAAAACTGGTCGCATGCAGCTGAGCCGCCCCAGTTCTTAGGCTTGGGGTCGTCCACGTTCTTCCAGGGGCACTTCTCCTCGGAGACAAATGCAACGAGACCCAAGCTCAGATAGAACCCAACCCAAACTCCGCGTACGTGTTTTTGTTGGTGGTTCTGTGCTTTGGAGCTGTGAAGCTTGGGTGGGGTGAAACCCCATTTACCCCACAAGAAGGGACCCGTTCAAATCCAAATCCAAACTCCCACAGACTACCCCTGACTCTCAAAGCTGAACATACGGCTTTTCAGCAGTTGTATCTGATTGACCACTCAGCTAGCAACTCTTGCTCGTAACACATATCCTTGGGGTGCTTCCTGCAGATGGTCCTTCTCTGTGGTGAAACCGCACCGAACTCTTGCTGTCCCGGCCACCGAGCCCAGTCGGCAAAGATCCACCGAGTCATCGTCGTAGCCTCTGGCTTTCGAGCGAACGCATTTGCATGTGTCATAGAAACCAGCTACAGGCAATTCTGCAGGAAACTCGCCAAACTCCCGCCAAAATCAGGGGGTTCCGGTAGAACTTCCTGTAGTTAGTTTCTTAGACTGTGTGGTGATGTCTTGGCAGAGTTTTCAGCTAAGGTACATCATAGGAACTGTCCTTTTGTTTCGTGGGCATGTGTGTGTGTGTGCATCTGCCGTTTTGTTTCTGTTTTTTGGGGGTCCTTTTGGGGGACCCACCTGCAAACCTGCAGGTGGTCACGTACAAAACCCGATTGCATAAGAAAGCTCAGCCGAGGAACTGGTCCAATACTCCAGCACGCGATTCACATAGGCCTGGGCCTGAACCGCTCAGAGTGCGAACGGTTCCCAGCCATAGGTGGCCTTTTGGAAAAATAGATGGCCCTGGTAAATGGAATAAACCCCATCTAAACCAGGGCCCTCTATTCTAACCAACCAAACAGGACGCCTATGTTCCCAGCGCCGAGTGCGACCCCAAAATCTCCCGAGCCCAAAGTGGTTCGACCCCAACCCGCCGGCATGGCTCACCTGGGATGGTCATTCTATTTGAGCCAAACCTTCATCAACCCGGCCTTTGATTCTACCTCAGTTGCCAATCAAACCATCAAAAAAAGGTCCCACACATTGCACCTGAATCAGATGCGGATTTGACTCCGGATGACCGCCCTAAATGAGAAAGGAATCGAGGAATCGAAGGAATTTGAAGGGGTCCAACATGGGAGTCCTTCTGCGAGTTGGCGAGTCGTGAAAAACGCCCACGGCACTTTCCCAAAGTTTTGACACGTGTTGTCTGGCGGGAGGGACGAACCCAAAAAAGGTTGGTTCAGGAGTGTCGCGTTCTCAGCTGGGCCCATTCTTCGCCAAGTCCAGGTTGCCCTTCCGGGTGAGGTTTGACCCAGCACTTTCAAGAACTTGCCGCTTCAGGGGACTTAAAAATTGAGGAAACATAGGTTCAAACCCCGATCTCGAGTTTCTTCCGTACCCCTACACAATCTCGCAAAGGGAGCAAGCTCGCCCTCTGGTTTATGTGAGTACTTTCCTTGCAATATGGCTTCCCGATAGAACCCAAGCCTATTTGGGATTTGGGGATGCTCTTCTCCTCAAAAAAAGAAACGCTCAACAAATATGGGGTGTGAATTTTAATCGGGGACCCTTTGGTGGACATCATTTAGGTGGGGATGCATGTCCACTAATCATTCTTGAGGTGGTTCCCTATTAACATTCATAGCCATTTTGAGACCAAGCCCTTTTCAGGATAGGAATCACCTCCACCTTCCCTACCCATCACGGACCCCGCATTCGTCGGACCCCGCCGGTCTCCGCAACGCGAGCGCGCCTGAGCCTTCATCAGTTTCTTGAAGCCATACTCGAAGTCCCACATCTGCTGAAGGCTGATGTCCCAGTTCAGCGCCATTTGCACCTCACGGCGGCGCTGAGCGAAAATTTGGGCCCACGGCTGTTCCTGAAGCTGGGGGCGTTCTCGGACCCCAGGAGGCCCCCAATAGGCTGGGGCTCGGAAGCAACTGGGAGTAATGGGCAGCTAGTTCATGACGAGCTATGAGTTCACATGTGCCGAATGGCAGCACAGTGTGGGCAATTGTTTGGGCCATTTGATATGGCCCCAGCCCGGACTGCGGCGATCTCTGAGTTGGCTGTGGTCTTGGACTCTGGCCCAATGCTTAGATCTTTACAGAAACGACTGACCAAAGGGCACGTGCCCGAAATCACCCGACCCGTACCTCACTTGAATCACAGTGGAATACTGAGTATGTTGGTCTCTATGTTCGGCAATCCCCCAAAACGGGTTTGGTGTTCGGCTTGGTTTGCCTTGAAAACCTCACAAAAAGGGCGGTCCCCCCTCCAACCAAAAAATAAAACGAGGAGAACCCATTTTTTCGTGCGGGAATGCACAATGATTCTCACGGTTCGGGCACGACAGCGACGTAGTGCCAACAGGTCCCCAAAGTGCTATCCGGACCTCTGGAACTCAACTCCAGCCCACAGGCAGGTTGCCACCCCTTGGCGCAAAGTCATCACCAGCCCAAAGCCCAAAGCGAGTGGAGATGCCCCGAAACTCCCTTCCTTCAAGCCCCTCAGGTGGGCTTCCCTTACCGGACTTCACCGAATGATTTTGCGAGACATCCGCAGAACCCTCTTTGCCTTCCAAGCCGAAAGGTGGTTGGGCGCCACTTGCGGCGTTTTTTGATTTGACTTCGGCGAATGATTTTGCCGACCAAGCCGAAAGGAAGACAGCGTTTCTCATGGTCTGTCTGAAAGGGAATCGGTGCCCCAAGCGGTTTTGTTGGTGTTTCTGTTGGCTTTTGAAATACACCCATATCTGTCACTGAAAGTCCTACAAACGGTTCCCTCCTTTTCAAGCACACCCATAAAACACACATAACATACCAGAAAAGAGGTACCCTGAAAACAAAACTAAGAAAGAAAGAAAGAAAGAAAGAAAGAAAGAAAGAAAGAAAGAAAGAAAGAAAGAAAGAAAGAAAGAAAGAAGAAACAAACGAACACATGTTCTTCAGATCCCCCCCCCGTACGAGAAAGAAAAAAAGAGGAAAAAAAAATAAAAGAAAGAAGAAAAAAAAGAGGGGATCAAGGAGCGTCGTTGTACACCAGCGCCAGGCACCCGCAATCGGACATCTCCTGGCGGCTCCGAGGGAAAGAAAATCCCTTTGGGCTGCGATGCAACTGCATCACCGGGGTACCTTCCATGTCCATTCTTTTCTCCAGGGATCCATATGAATTATTTCTCAGGAAACCATCCAAAAACCCAGGTTGGAAACAGATCCAGCATCCAAAAACCCAGGTTGGAAACAGATCCGGCTTTTGAAAAGAAGGATGGTTGAAAAGAATGGGGGATCAAGCCCTAGAGTTCCAAAGACGAACCCCCCATATTTAGAAGGGGATTCCCTTGCATCAATTCCCCTTTCCAAAAAGGGCCTAAAGACTAACCCCCCATGTGATACTGTGGATGGATGCGAAATCTGTTTCGCACCACCATCATTCCCCTGTAATTACCAGCAAATAATGGTTTCAACCATGCTATCAAAGTGGTGCGAAATGGATTTTGTCCATCCAGGGCCTAAAGACGAACCCCCCCCCCATATAAAGAGGGAACCCGCTCCCTTGTATCACGGCGGTTGGATCAATTCCGCTTCGGGACCGGCGTTGGCCGGGCCAACGCCCCGCCAGAAGTCGAAGGCGCCGAGGCGCGATCTTGGTTTAGCCAAGAAAGCGCCAGAGATCAAAAGGAACCATATGGTTGGCTATATTCATATGGGTCGGTCTTTTTTTGAGGGTAGCCTTGTTTGGATTGAAAGGGACACCAGAAGGAAAACCACCATTTGGTCCACCAAAAACAGACACACCCATATCAAGCACACCTTTTCGGCGATATGGCTAAGGCTTCGCTTCAGGCTCCGACTTTTCTCGGGGCATTTCCTCAGGTGTTTCTTGCGGGTGCCTCGGGCCCTTTCTTCGGCCTGTCCGAGGGTCCGAAGGCGTGAGACCCGAGGTTGATTCAACTGAAGCGTTTGGGGCCGACGAAAAGCGGTAGGACGAGACCTATTTCTCCCATTTTAATTACCTTTTCTAGGGGTTGATTCCCCATTCTTTCTCAGCCATGTCCCCAGGGTGTTTTTTCTCCTGGACTCCTGGCTTTCTAGAAAGCAGGATCCCTCAAAAAGAAATGGGGAAGCCACCCCAGTCTTGCAAAGAATATGTGGCCAGGTGACCAAAAGGACGTCAAAATCCCTGTGGCACGAGAAGGAGGACCAGCTTTCACCTTCCATATGGGTCAGGCGGCAGACCGATTCTTTTGGATGTGTTCACTGGGAATGCAAAAGGAAAACCAGGTATTTGCTGTTGGGAGGCTCACCAAAAATCGGCACTCAGGTATAGGATCCACCAGAAATCCCCAGTGGGTCCCTGACGACTTCCTCAAATATTCCCTCAACACAAGTTGGCGCGGAAATATCGACCGTTGCCTCCAAAACAAGCGAGAAGCCACCGGACCGGGGCCAACCAACCAACTCACCCCAAAACCATCCAACCAACCACGCAAGCAAGCAAGCAAAGCATAGGAGCCAAAGGAACCAACTCGCCAGCCCACAAGAACCATCATAACCCCTCCCCAAAACCAACAAAACACATCAGCTTCCCTCCCCTTTTTGGGGTCCAACCAGACTTCACCTCCGAATCCGACCCCCCGGGCTCCAAACCATTTGCCGGACTAGGACACAAGCAAAAGGAACAAAAAGCAAAACAAAGGAAGCTCGCCAAAACAAGACGAAAACAGAGAAATGGTTTGCACCAACAAGACCAAACCCAAACCCAATCCCCCCTTCCAAACCCAACCCCCCCCCCCCAATCCCCAATCCCCCGACACGGCGAGATCGCTCCGAAGGAAGAGTGCCGGACGCCGAGGTGCACCACGAATCCACGAGTTCCTCAGAGGGGTCGGCCCCCAACTTCTTGTCGTAGTAGTTGGTGGCCTCTCGAAGCGATCTCCGATTTGCCGTGAACCAGGCACAGCTTGGGGTTTGGGGGGGGGGGTGGGGATTTCGGAGAGAGGACCTTGAACCGGGGCTTGGGGGGGGGTTCAGAGGAGTGGGGGAATTGGTAGGTGGCCTCTCCGCTTCGGAGAGATGATCTGGCTTGGGTTTCAGAGAATTCCACTCCAGTGATTCCATTGCTTTGAACCGGGGCTTGGCCTCCCCGATTTGCTTTGACAAAATTGCTTTGGCTTGAGGCTGCGGCTTGAGAGGAGTCCGGGAATGTTGGTTGGCTCGCTTTGCTTTGGCTTGGCTTGGCTTGATTGGTTTGCTTTGGATTATGTTGGCTTGGCTTGGCTTGGCTTGGGCCTCAGAGGTTTCAGATGGCTTGCAGATAGTTTGGTTGCTTGTTTCAAGGGTCTCAGGGCTTTCAGTGTTTGCTTTCCAGACAACAGCATTTGGAACCTCCCCCCCAAAGAAGACATGGGTTGCTTGCTTGCTTGGCTGTTTGGTTGGTTGGTTGGTTGGTTGGTTGGTTGGTTGGTTGGTTGGTTGGTTGGTTGGTTGGTTGGTTGGTTGGTTGGTTGGTTGGTTGGTTGGTTGGTTGGTTGGTTGGTTGGTTGTTTGCAACCAGTACAAACATCCAGCAACCCGGCAAGAGCATAGGTGTCCTTTTAGAGCAAATAGATGGCCCTGGTATTGCGGTTTGCTGTTCTTGCTGGTTGTGGCGTGTTTTGTCGTGTGTTCGGTCGCTTGCTTTGTTGCTTTGCTTTGGTGTTTGGGGAAGAAACGTAGCTGAGCACCCCCAGGAATTCTTTCCCAGCAGCCTTAGCAGTTTTCGGGGGATGGGAACAAACTTCAGGCAATGCTGTTGGGTACAGGGTTCCACTTCTTGGCTGCCACAAGATACACTTAAGCCCATGTTGGGGGGGTAATGAACCATCCCTGGGTTTAAGTCTATCCTGGGAGTACAACCCTGGTTGGGTATACTTGTTTTGGGCGCAACGACCTTCGGACCGAAGCACCTTGAAACACCCAGAAACTTAGAAATTCAAATAGTCGCATTGAAATACCTGGCAAACGGTCTACCCACAAACCAGAACGCATCAAAGGGTGGTCGGTCAGTCCCCGAAACTACCACCCAGGAAATTTGCTTTCTTTTGTGGCTTCCCTTCAAGATCGACAAAAGGGGAATCCTCAAAAAATGACATACCCAGATGGAGTGTTGAAACCAAACGGGGGTTTGGATTGAGAAACTGCATGGTTGGGGAACCTCAAGACACTCCGTTTGGACCCGTCCGTGCCTTCTTCATGAACCAGCTTCCCGTCACTCTGCCCATTTGCTCCTGGAGCGAGTGACTCGAGCAGCTTAGTTGAAAAGGCCTGCAACCAACCGCAAGGGGGGGGCCAAGCATATTTGGACTGTTCGAAGAACCTGCTCGTTTTCCTGGCGCCGTCTGTCTGAATGTTTCTTCTCGCGTTTTGCCCCCCCCAACTCTAGTACCAAGTCTCAAAGAAACAAAGGCGCCAAACGTACTGTGGATGGACGAAATCCCGCACCACAGAAGAATCCCCTGGAATGATTCGATTCCCCAACCTAGATGCCGATGAACAGTAGTGTCCTTTGGTTTCAACTTTTGCGCGAACGGAAATCGCAACCATCCACAGGAACCTTCACGTGAAGCTCCCGGAACCCTTTGGCTCCTTCTGGGTGTCTTCCGGTGGCACCGCACAGCGCGTGAGCGGGTCCGTCCTCAAGACCAATCTGTCGACCGCCCGCGTCGGGGGGGAAAGCTTTGCTGGTCTTCCCTTTAGCTTCGCATCCCAAAAAGCCGCCCATCCAATGTCCTTTCTTGAGGCGAAAGGGTACGCTTTTGTTTACACCCCCCCCCCCCCCGCAGGGCCTACCATTCTTCTTCAAATTAGACCAAATCCTCCTATTTTAAAGACAGGGGGTGTGAGCATATATACGCAAGAAGTGTGCTGTTGTTGCATAGTTTCTCTGCGTGACAAGTCTGTTGAGTAACAACAGCGAAGAGTTTATAAACTTTCAGGAAAGTTTATAAACTATGTCAAGGGTTTGACGGTTCCCTGCAACAAGGCAACACCTGGGCAACTGGGAGGAGGTTGAGAAGTCTGGGGCATGGGGGCGGGAGGGCGGGTGAGAAGGGCGGGTGAGAAGTCTTTAAGTCTTTAACAAAGGGTGTTACCTTGTTGCAGGAAAACGCCAAGCACTCAAGAAGGTTTTTATACTTTCCTATAAACCTTATGTAGGCTTAATGCGTAGCAAATGGATACTGTTGTTTGGGGAAAAGGTTGTTTGGCAAAAAGGAACCATCTTCGGTCCAAGGGAACTTAATCTGAGCAATTTCTGCAAAACACTGTTGTGTTTTACAGCATTTTGTTGGATCTCTAATTCCTTGACATGTCCACTTTGAAACACCTGAAACCTAGAATCTGGAGATCAGAATCCTCGAAATGTCTAATGTTGGATTCTCCAAGCCTCATAATTTGGAGCCTGGAGTCCTCCAACATATCCAAACACACATTCCTTTCCAAATACGATTTTGCTCCGAATTGAATTTGCATGTTGAATGGAATTTAGCAAGCACATAGTTCACCACCATGCATAATTCACCATCATGTCCATATTTGATCCGAATTTGAACAGTAATATCTTTTCAAATAAGGAAGATATCATTTCAGTAGAGTCTAAGTATACTTTAATGCAGACAGAATTCAATTAGCTTTTGAACATAAGAAATTAATCAAGAATCCATCCCCAAATACAACTTGAATTGGAATAGAGCTTATTCTGGAAAGAAATCACTTGGCCTGTGCAAACAAATTTTAATAGTAACTCATTCCCAAATAGGATTTAGCTTACATGTGGCTAAACAACTAAAGGGCGCATATCTCCAGACTCCCAAACTTGGTCTGGAGATGTGTTTGGCATGTGCAGGTCTGAGAGCTTTCATTTTCAGGAGATTTTGTGCTTTTGGGTCTGTGCAGGTTGCAGAGCTCAAAGCTGCAAAAAACATCATGTGTTCAGTGTGTGTGTTTTCCCTGGCGTACTCAAAACCACTGTAAAAACCAGTGTTCTCAAACAAAGCCAGACTCGAATCTGAAAACGGATTCCGTGTTCGCTTTGTTGCCTTTCAAGCTGAAACAAAGCTAACATTTGCTGGCATATAGAAGGTAAAACACCAACAGAAACGCTGTATTTTACAGTGTTTTCAGGCATCTGCAAGAACGAGGCACACGGAATAGACTTGACACCTTCAACTAGAAGAGAGGAAAGGTAGGCTCTGGGGGGGGGCATATATATATATGCATATTATTCAGGCGAAAAACTACCAGGAACAGTTTTTTTTTGGGGGGGGGTCCAACATCTTGACACAAAGATCCGCACCGGAGAAAAAAATGAAGATGAAAAAAATGTTGAGCCGGCGGGCCAGGCGTGGTGCGACTCGTTGATCCAGAGATACCCGGTGCGCAGGACATCTCGGACGGAGGCGGAGCGTGATCCAAACATCCGGCGAGAGCAACAGCTCTCGATCAAGCGGTTGGGTTGAAATCGAAATCCGGGAGTGACGTGCCACCCCGAAAATCAGAAGCCCAAAAAAATGATGCGAGTCTTGATAAAATACCAAGCGCGATGGTTTCAACCACGGTTCATTGCGTGGTGCAAATGAGTTTCGCAAGCATCCACAGTGGGTGATCCTTTTGGGTAGAAATATATGGGTTTCCACCCAGTGGAGCCCAACTTCTAAAAAGACTCACCTAAAAAGGACGCCTAGGGTCACAATGCAAACCCCAAATCCATGCGGCCAAGGCGCTGTGCAACTGAAATGGCGGTGGGTCCGCTAGAGGCAGCCTCAGCAAGACCCGGATTCAAAGACCATATCTGAATCACTCTTGGAGGACGAGCTTTTTTCGATCTGGGCATTTCCGCAAACGAAGCCGCTGAAGACGCCAAGAGGAAACACTGACATGGTTTCTCTTTTTTTCTCTCTCTCTCTCTCTCTCTCTCTCTCTCTCTCTCTCTCTCGCTTTTTTCTTGTTGAGGCTCGGCGCCCCCATTCTTGGGCTCGGCTTCTCTTCAAAGTTTCCCTCCAACAAGTTCGGCCGAACTTGGGCTCCCGGGCCCTGGAGCATGGGCCCAGATTGCAGACTGACACCCTTGGAACTTTCTGGGAACCCTTGAAACCTTTTTCCTCCGAAATGGAAAGCGAAAATCGAAAAACCTTTCCTTTCCCAAAACGAAAGCGTTAAAAAAAAAGAAAAAGTCGCAGTCAAGCCGGAAGTGTCGATTCAACCAAAAGGAAAATCCAGGCAAAAGCCTTCGATGATCCAGGTCTTGAGGCTCCAGAGTGAAGCCAATTCAGCGGAGGATGGCCCGTCTTCATCCTTCCAAAGCTGGTGTTGGGATGTGTCCTTCAACTGGAGCCCGGTCTTTAGGGCAACCCGAACCGACTTTTGGTGCTAAGATGGTGGGAAAGGCGTTTGGGTGAGTGAAATAGACGTTCCCCATTGACTTCTTGGATAGGTGAGTGGAATGGTTCTGTCTTGTCTTGAGTTCGAACCGCTCTTCTGGTTGTGCTTTTTTGGGTGTCCGTTTCCTCCTAACAAAGCAAGTAGCGCACCCCAAATGAGGAGAAAGAAAACCCAAAGGCCAGGCTCAGCCGTAAAAGCAACAAAACCCACGGACAACCGGGCTCCGCGGCGCCCCCTTTGTCCTTCGCGCCGAGCCGCACGTTGTCTGCCAGGAAGAGCAGCGGGCTCAGCGCGAAGGCGCAGCGCGGCGTGGAGGGCACATCCTCGGAGTCGAGTCGGTGGGTTTGGTGGAGGAGAAATTCCCCCTTTGCTCCTTAAACAAGAACCAGAGGTTCAAATCCTCAAACCACCAATCCAATTCATGCTTTGGTGGTCTTCCTTCTTGGAGCCGAATCGGAGGGTTAGGCTTCCAGAAGAACCCAGAACGTTGCCTTTGACCAAAGGGGAGGTGATTGGGGTACATGGATGGTTCGTCTACGTCAGGTAGGTGAAGTAACCGTGGTAAGCCAACCAACCACCACAGTCCCCAGTTGCAAATGAACCTTGGGAGAAAACAAACCTACGTCATTAGGCCCCCCAAAAGCAACATGAATTGCGTCTTGAAATAAAGCCCTCCAAAAAAAAGTGGTTTGTCTTCGGAAAGGGCACCAAGCCTCAACCAAATGAACTGGAGGTGTCTTGAAATAGACCCCAAAACAAACAAGAGAGAGGAGGTTTGCCTTTGGTTTCTCTTCAGAAAAGGCACCAAGCCTCAACCAAATGAACTGGAGGTGAGAAGTCGGACAAAGGGCTTTTCAAGCGGGACAAAGAACTCCAGTCAGACTGGACATGGGTGTTCGACGAGAGAACATGTTTTACCGTTCGGGATTGTTATCATCTGAATTGGATCCCCTTGGCTTGGTGGTAGCAGAGACATCCAAAGGCGACATTGAGAAACCATCGAATCAAAGGTTCCAATAAACCAGCCCAAACGGGGAAAACCCTTTCAACACAACCACCCATCTCTACAAAACCATTCCTGACAACATTCATCCCGATCGACACATGGTTGTTTGTTCCCTACTTGAAGATCGGATGGGCAAGCGCCGGCTTTGTTTTGGATTTGGAGCCCGATCGTTGACGGTCTCGAAAAAATGACCCGGGGTTGTTTTCCTCGTGGCTCACTCTCCATTTGAGTATACTGTCGAAAAAGGAATTGGACCCAAGATGGTAGGCGTCCTTATCATAGGTGTCTTTTTAGGCAAATAGATGGCCCTGGTAGATGATCAAACCACCAGGTAAACCAGGGCCATCTATTTTTCTTATCGTTGCCCCTGAACCCCAACTTTTCAGGGTGCCCTTCGCCTCAGACAACAAGCGCCGTGATCAACCAACCTTTCTTTCGCCTTCACTCCCATCAGTGTCTCCCGGCCATGCATCGCGGTTCCGAAAGCACAATCAGAAGGCAAAACCCTACTTGGATCCAGGAATCACGAGTAGGGGAAATGTCAATGTTCGCTGAGTGGATCTGGCGATTCTGAAGCTTGGTAGGCCCCTTGATCCCGTGAATTATCAGGGAGCGATGGTCAACCCCACCATGTTTCATGAGTAATCCAATCCGTCGGATGCTTTGAGCAAGTGTAATGATCTCAAATGGAAAGGTGATGATGCCTTTGCGGCACAAGTACTTAAATGCGACAGTCCACGTCTTTGCCAACCAACCAAATAAGGTGTCCATTCTGCTCGGATGCTGTGTGTGTTTGTGTTTGTGTGTTTCTTTCTTTGTTTTTGTCTCTCTTTGTTTTGCTTTCCGCTTTCTTTCTTTCTCTTTTTGGAAGGGGGTCCCTTGGTCCATTCTCTGTTTCTTCGCTTTTTTTTATGCTGTTTTGCTCTTTGGGGAGTGGGGTCACCGCCTTTTGGTCCTGGCCAACTCGTTGCTCAAATTTGAGGCCCGGGCCCTGCCCAAACTCTTCAGTTGCTCCTCGGGCTTGGCGAGCAGACACACATCCTGAGCTCGCCCCCCGTGCGCGAAACCCCACTTGTGCCGGCCGAAAGTCACGCGGTGTTAAGAGGAGATGTGTCTGAAATGATGGACCCCCAAAGAATGTTGGGTGCTTTTTTTGCTTCCCCCAAAGAATGTTCGGAGATGGACCCACCCAATGAGGAACATCGGAATCAGAACCCGGCTTCCGATTTCATCATGAGCCCAAAGAGGGGGGCAGCGAACCTCATACAACACGAGTCGCCCGAAAAATGTTGCGCGGGCCCTTCTTGGGCTTGGGTTTTATTGGGAAGGCAAAAACCGATTAGCCGACCCGCCCATTTGGGGGTCAGCCCTTTGACACATGTTGTCCACCCCTAAACCACTATATACCCACAGGGGTTCAATGGGATATACAGCCACAAAAAAACACTATATAAGGGGTATATAAGTTGTTGGGAGTGTTCTGCCAAAATGATGGACCCCCAAACCGGTATGGCTTTAGAAAGAGACGAAAGTTGAGATGGTTTAGGGCAGGTTGACTGCGGAAAAGAACTGGTGGTTCCTAACCACTTTGTCCAGCATCACCCACCAGAAGAAAATTCACAAGACTCATTGCCCTTGAACCAACCGACTGCGGATTTCCTGAAAGAAAACCTCCAGTTGGATCCTTCGGGCTCAACGCATTCCCTGCTTCCGCTAAGTCCCCAAGAAAACATTGATGGATTCCCTTTGAAACCAGGGAGGAAAATCGAAAAAGTCTTTCCCATGCGAACTCCGTCCAAACCGCTCCCTCGTTTAAAGCCAGTTTGTAAAAAAAAAAAAAAAAAAACGCCAACCTCTTGCTTGTTGAGGGACCATCAGCGGTTTGATGGGATACTGCAGCCACGAATAAGGCCATGGATGCAAATTCTTCATCTGAGTCATCATCAAAACCCGGTATTTAAAATGGTCTACCCAGAACCGGGCGCAGCTATTTGTGGTTGGGATTGCCCCTTACAGGGATCCTTACATTTTACGCCTGAACATTGCGTGGTGGCTTCCCTTTACTTTGGTGGAAAAACCATGTTTGAAATGGGCAAAATGTATCTTTGAAGAAGCCCTGCCTTATTCACCTTCATCTACCGGGTTTTGATTGGAAGCAAATTCTTCTCTCAATGGGGCCCACTTTCGCGATGAATGGCTCCCACACCGAGGCGCGGTGAAGGCCCACTCCTGCGGCGAATTCATCGGACGGAGGGGGCTCCGGCCGCTTAGGCAAGTGATGCGACCAGAAGTCGGGAAGAAAAAAATGGCACCGCAAGTTTTGCTTTTTCGTGGCAAAGCTGAGCCAAAGGCATGTTCAGTGACACTGAGAAAAGCCAGCACAACCCTTGAGGGAGCCCCAGGGTCCAGCTGTTGAAACATGTGTTGCCACTCTTCTCCTATTCCCAAATCCCCCCAAAAATTTGGTGTTTTGGTGTGCGGATACGGCTTCCTTTGGGTTTCCCTTTCAAGCCCAATCCACGGAAAATCCGTGCGGACGAACAAATAGCTTCCAAAGGCCCGGTCAAACTAGGTTGCAAAGATCCTGCTTTACCATCCTTTCGGGTGTCGCTTCTTCGTTTTGGCGACCGGCGTGGCTTTTTGGGAGAAGGACACCCCTCACTCCGGTCGCGCCGGTCGCCCGGTCGCGCCTTGCCGTCCGGACCGGGACCCCTGGCTTCGTAGATCCGCTGCTCCACCGCATGGATGCCTCGGATTTCGGATCGCAGGAAGGCGCGAAAAACGTGGTGGTGCATAAGCAAAAACAGGTCTTAAGAATATCCATTGACAATTCCCTTGATGAGTGACAACGCTCATTCTCACCATCTCTAGTTTCACAAGCACATGTTTAACCCAATTACTCCAGCCCATGGGACATGCGACACACACACACACACAATGACGATTCGTTCCAGCGGGGTCTTTTATCTAGCCCAAGACACCATTGGCTCCCCCCCGCCCCCCCTCAACTTGTGTTTAAAGCTTGAAGCCAGCTTTGAAGTTTACACTCCCTCAGCGTATCATGGAAGCTGCCAGAAGCCCTCTGTAAATGGAACCGAGTCTTTTCAAGGGGTCATGCGAGCTTGCATGATAGTCTGAGGGAGTGTAAAGGAGCAGCAAAAGGCTGGGCTATCTTTGGTCACAACTCAAGAGTGGGGTGCAAAGTTGTCTGTCGACATTGCGGCGAGAGAGGCAACAGCTACTCACCGGATGTAAGGGAGAGCGGCGGGGCACACGCTTACGAAACTATCTTGACTTGGGATGCAAGATCTTGTTTAGGGGGTTCCATAAACAGATCAAAGCAACGGGAAGCAATGGAGAAACATTAGGGATTTAAACTAAAGGGAATCAAACTATAGAGATGCTTCGGCATTTCATCTGAAACCAAAGGCTTCCCTCTCTCCCATGTGGAGCCGAACCCTTGCGCAAGCGTTGCGCAAGGTGGCATCTCCGGGCCAAGACTCTTCGCAGAATGTCCGTCTCCCAAAGAGTCCCAGATTCCTTCTCCACTTCCTTGCGCGTTTCGCATGAGCGCGCCGAACACCATGTCGCTGAAGAAAAGGACAGGTTTCACCCACCTCCTTTTTCCCCGGTAGTTATTCTTCCCTACAAAAAAAGAAATCCAAGGAAACCACCCAACATAAAAGCCAAAAGGAGAATGGATTGAAGGGTTACCTAACGAAAAGGTGGCTGCTTGGCTTCCTCTTCAGAAAAACCGAAATGGAAGGGCAGCAAGCGAAGTAGACAGCGCATATTCCCACTGAACCACTCTCTCAAGCCCTCTGGCGCTTCCCAAACTCTTTGGTCAGCCAGGCCATGGGACAAGACGCAATTTCCTGTTGGTCTTCTTTTAAAACCAACCAAAAGGGGCTTCCCTTTCCAGGAATCCTTACACATGAACATTGCAACTTGTAAATGGTGGTTTCAACCTTTATTTTCGAGAACGCCTCAAAATGATCACTTTTTAGTATCGCCCAGACGTCGGCTGAGTTTCTAAAACGAGCCCTTCCCCATCTGAGTGTAGCTCGTGTCGCATGTTCGAGCCGTCGTTTCATCAGTGCCTAAGCCCAACGGCTGCGATTTCCACGAGGCGCGTAGATGATGTGCAGATAGAACATGCGCTCGGAGCCTGAAGCGGCCAACGTGCGAGCGGGTTGTCGTCCCATTCTTCGGGGGGATTTTTTGCAACATGGGCTCGGTGCGCAACGTTTTGGTGTTGCCAAGCCGCCGAAAAAACCTAAGGCAGGGCCAAGTGAAAAAAGCACCATTTGGAACAACAGGAAGTTGGAACCCGAGTCGAAGCGAAGCATCCAACTGCTTTCCTTTTCAGGGAATCCTCGAGCGGTTGGATTCCCAAACCGGGCCCCTGAAACAAGTTGCCAGGCTGGCCGTCTGGTCGCTATCATCCACTGGGATTTGATTTGGGCGCCCAAGACCTGTTGATCCTGTTCACTGCTGGTTCTCTTAAGGAAGCGTAAAGATAAATTATATAAACCAGGAAGGAACCGAACAAAAATGCGGCCCAAAGGGGGGATAACGGTAAGCCCTTTCCCTCTCATGGATTGTCAGGGTCCCCTTTAACAGCCCTTTTGGTTGCCAACCCATATTCAGTGACCCACTCTTCCATCACTTTGTAGGCATAAGGGGTTTCCAAAATTTCAATAAACAACCAACCCCTTCCGTTCTCCCCCGTTTTGGGCGGGTTTTCAACCTGAAAGCCACGGATGGAAACGCCCCATGTTGGGGGTTTCAACCTTTCAAAAACCACGCCTCCTGAATCCAAACCCCTCCACTGCCCCATCCGCCATCGAACGCCATCCATCCGCGGGGCGCTCGTCCAAGTCCTCGCACCCGGGGCACGCCAAAGCCACCTCCTTCACACTGCGCCCGGCATCTTGCCTCCGCGTCCGCGGAGTTCATAGCGAGTTGGCAAAAAAAACATGGGAGTAAGGCTGGTGGACGCGTTTAAAAGTGTGCTTCCATTTTAAGACCGGTCCATTATTGTTTTTTTTTGCTGCTGGTCCATTGCTTGACACCTGCTGGGTTGCTTGGTCCACGTTTGGTTCGCCAGCTCGTCTGCTTGGCAATCCCAACCAAAATGGGATCCCACGGTTTTGCCCCCAATGCCCCATCTTCCCCCACAGCTCGTGTTTTGAGGGTCGTAGAAACCGTAAGAGCCTCGAAAAGATGACACCCTCCAAATCCCCCCACCCTGGCCCACCTCTTCTTCGCGATGTGCTCCTGGTCAGCCAAAACGGGACGTAAGCGGCCCGCGGAGGAAAGGGGCGGGCGTCGTCATTTTTTTCAGGATTGGCTTCTTGTTCGGGCTCGCGTGTGAAGGGAAAGCAAAAGGAAAAACCACTCTTTTGCCAGGGAAAAAAGGGCAAATGTGGGCGTCTTTACCTTCAGACTTGGCCTGTTCTTAGGGTTGGTGTGAAGAAAAAGCAAAAGGCACCAGCGGAAAACCAAGACAGTTCGTATTCGCCCGAGGACCATGCCCAGCTTTTGGGCACACAAAGAAAACCACTCAGACATATTTGTCCCAAACATCGAGGCACCATGAAAGGTTGAAAGTAGATATCAAAAGTCTGAGCCATGGCTGAGCCATCCTCAGTTCCGTAACGCAAAAAAAAATCACCCGGATGCAAGCTGGAAAACCCTCATTGCACTAAGCCACTGCAAAGAGTGGATGGCTACGAACTTGCGCCCGGGATGGATGAAACCCGACTTGAATGGTACCCCCAACCACGCCGCAAAGCTAGATTTTGCCACACTCGGGCCCATGGTCTTTTTGCCGACCAAGGCTCTCGGAGGATAACTGGGACGATGTCATTCCTCAGTACGAGAGAGACCTTGCTAAAAGTTAAACTTGCGGGATTTATGCGAAAACAACAACAATAGCTCCTTCAACAGACTGCATCCGGGGGTTGAATCGTCCAAGCAAGATTATGTTGTCCCCTACCTCGAAGTTAAACTTTTGGCGAGATCTCCCCCCACCAAAAAAGAGAAACGAGGGGGAAGTAGATCTAAACCAAAGAAACCCCCCGAAACCCCGGGAGCCAAAAAAAACAAAAACAGAATAAACTTTCGTCTTCCGTTCTCCGTCCCTTCCGCCTTTTTCACACTTCTCCGCCTTTCACTCGCCTTCCGCATCTGCAAAATGCCAAGCCTCGGCCTGGGGTCTAGGATCGGCACGCCCAGCAGGAGCAAGAGCCCCAGCAGGGCGAAGCACCCGGCCAGGCACCCGAAGCCGCCGAAGAGGAAGACTCGGCGCGGAGAAAGAAGAAGAAAAAAAACGTGGAAAATCCGGCCGGGATCAAGGGGAAGTGATTCCAAGCACCTTGATACAAGGGAACGGGTTCGGAACCTCTTTATATGGGGGGGTTAGTACACACTCGAAACCTGGTACCAACACCAGAAAAAACCAGCCAAATGGGCCTTTTTCCCTAACAGCTGAAAGCTTTGGAGTCTCAGCCCAAATAGGCTCCGGGGTGGTCCGGGGCGGCCCTGAGGTAAGGTCCACCAGGGTTCCACCAGGGTTCCACGAGGTTCTGCGAGGGCTGCGAGGGCTGCGGGGTGGTGTGCGAGTCACTAAAAAGAGCACGGCAGGCTGTTGGGGATATCACATAAGCTTATTTGGAGTGGCAAGGAAGCTTGTCTTCAAGCCTTTCTAATTTGGTGGTACTGTGGATGGTTGCGAGATCCCCATTTCGCACCACTTTGATACCATGGGAACAGAGTTCTTTGCTGGTATTTACAGGGGAATGATCACTCCAGGGTCTCTTAGGTGGAGCAGGACTTCGTCCATCCACAGTATGTAGCGGGGTCAAACCAGTTCAGAAATCCTGGCCTGGGCTAAAAAGGCGAGCAACTCCATGGGCTTGCCTCGATCTGCTTCACCAGCCACATGTCATGATGGCCATCGTGCCCATGGCCATCGTGGCCATCGTGGCCCTCGTTCTGGGCGCTTCTTGCCCAGCTCGCCGGCACTGCGCCCAGCTCCCCAGCATTCGCCAGCAGCGGGTTGCCAGCGCCGGCGCCAGCGCCGGCGCCCCAGTGGGCGGGCGCGTGGCTCAGTGGGGCCACCGGCGGCATGGGTTGCATGGCCGGGCCCATGGCCGGGCCCATGGCCGGCCTCATGGGCGGACCTCCCAAAAGCGGACCTCCCATGGGCGGACCTCCCATGGGCGGACCTCCCATAGGCGGACCTCCCAAAGGCGGACCTCCCATGGGCGGACCTCCCAAAGGCGGACCTCCCATAGGCGGACCTCCCATGGGCAAACCCCCAGGCCCAAACCCCATCGGCGCGGGGCCGCCTGGTCTCATGCCCATCTGACTCGGACCACCTGGCCCGCCATAGGGCGCCATGCCAAAGGGACGGGGTCCCGGTCCCGGCCCTGGCGGCCCTGGCGGCCCTGGCGGCCCTGGCGGCCCTTGCGGCCATGGATGCATGGCTCAGGTCATGGATTGTCAGTCGCACTCTGCCGAAAAATCATCTGGGGGCTGTGCTCTTGGAGCAAGTTGGTTTCGTGCAACTCGAGTTCTTGGTTTTTGGAGGTTAACGACCTGAGGAAGCATCTTAGCAACGCGGCCAAATTTAAATTGGGGCCATCTCCTTGGATTTGGTGAGTACTTGCTTTGGGTGGCATCCCCATCCCCGGTCGACCAGTGGAGTACCATGAATATCGCCAGTGACTCTGCGTTTTTGTCATAGGGCTGAAAGCCACAAAGTCTGCCTCACATGGTATGACACGGAGTTCTTTATCCACGCGTGAGACCCTGGTTGAAAGCGTGACAATTCCAACCCTGGCAGAAGCGGGGGTCCACAATCTGGTGCACCCCCAAATGGGTTCTTTTCTTGGGGTGCCACTCAAAATTCCGGCCCCTCAACACACGCCGATTGCCCAGGTGAGCGAGCCTTGCCGACATCCGGCAGACTGAGATTTTCCGGCCTGACGAGTCTGCAGATCCCAGGAATCCTCGAAGCCTGCCATGCAGCCAGGCAAATCAATGCCTGGCCACGATTGCTTTCATGTCAAAGATCAAGCTCACGTTTGGCGCATTTTGGCGCAAACGACTGCTTTGTGAAATGCATTTGCGCGTGCCCAGTCAACCCACCCTTCGAAGCAAAAAAAGAAACACATCAAGAAGACACACCCATCGTCATCAACATTTGCGTATCGCAGAAACCATGCGCTGGTAGACTCCCATTCGGGCAAACGGTAAAAGTGCGCCGTGTGATCATCCGAGCACGTTCAAGATGGGTGTGATTTTAGAGGTCCACAACCAGGTTTTTGGGTTTTCCTTTTGGTTTCCGTTTAAAGCCAACCGTGAAAGCCGACCAAAATAGTTGCCGGTTCCCCTCAAAAGAAGACACACCTACATGGCACAAACGAAAAATCTTCAGTAAATTGCTGAAACCCTTGCGCCAATGTGCGTAAAGCTTGTTTCACTGTTGCACCACGAGAGCATCGCAGCATCCGGATGACTCCAAAGCAGCACGCGAACGCACGCTGTCTCACTCCATTACGCCATCGGGTAAACCGTGCCAATCGTTCGTGACACACGCGCACACACACCAAACACACTTAAACTCCCGAAGGAGGTTGCTCATCTTCGAGTACAACTTTCGAGTACAACTTTCGAGTACAACTTTCGGCTCGCATTACACTCGGCTTCACTCTAGTTACTTGAGCAGGGAATCAAGGAAGCAACGGCGGTTCAGGGAGGGGACCAAAAGGACATTCACAAACATCACAATTGCAGGTACGTCCAACAGCGTCCCGTTGGATTTGACCAGCAAAGAACGGCGTCTTCGTTGGCGCAGGTCCCTTCAATGTTGCCCGCGCCCCCTGCAACTTGTGAAATGGTTCCAGGGTAGATCTGGAACTCGGCACACGCACGCCCCCGTAGGGACGAACGCACTGGTTTTCCGGGAAGAGCGGGCAGGTCAGCACGAAGGCAGTTCAGGATCCAAATTAGCCAAGGCGTCCATGTGATCTAGAACGGACTCTAGATGCCAGGGTGTTTTTTGAGGTGTCGGGGCTCCGCGCGCACGATCATGAGACCTCCGGGGTGGTTGATGCCAACTGCTGCGAGAAGATACCAGTTGCGCCGGTAGGGGAAGGGCCGCATGTTCAGGGTTGCCAAGGGGTGACATTGAAATCCGTGCTGCAGTCGGTTGCGAGGTAGGTCCAGCTGCCGCCGCCACTGCATCAACATGGGTCCTGGGGCACATCCAGCATGAAAGGCGCGTGTGGATCCAGGTTGGTGTCAAAGGAGTCCTGTTTCGAAAGAACACGTTGATACCCTTGACAGCCAATCTTGTAGCTTCCAAACGTAGCACCACCGTACGTAAATTGGGCTTCCCTCATCTTCACCTGGGGTTGGGTCATAAGCGATCCAGTGCTTGTTCCAATGTCTCAGTGTCACTGTTGCAAGGCGCTGTTGATTGATGGTATGTTTCAGTGGCCCAGTCTTGTCGCTGCCATACTGGTTGCCGGCCACTATTGCCATCAGCTGGCGGTTACTCGCGATATGCGTGGGATCATTGCTCGTCCCAATCACCCATGGTCCAGGCGCAAAGATCTTGATCCATTGATGTTGAGGTTGTAGAGGATCCGGGCACCGTTCCACCCACGGCACGCCGAAGACTACACCCCAAAGCAGCTTCAGTCACACTGCGGCGTCAAGCAAGATACCAGGCAACGGATGCGTAAATACAATTGCAATGCAACAGCTACCGACAACCGCAACAAGCCGGTGCTACAAATCCATGCAACCTGTGTATCAGAACTGCCACGCAAGTGACCTTTTTCTTTCACGACCATCAATCAGTCAACACTTACGCATTCCAATCAAACTCCGAGTCAGATAGTGTTCGACGAGGCGGTGAGGGTGCTTTCCAGGCATCATCTGACGCCGACGACAAAGCGGATAATTGATCCCGAGTGTGAAGCGGTCGACGGCGATGTGATGTAGGGGGCAGTAGTTGTTGCCACCCAAGCGTGTTCCAGTCACGAAAACGCCAGCAGTAGTGCGTGGGCAAAGAGGTAGCGCGAAGCTGTTCATCGGGCGAAGTGCCTCCAGCGCCATCCAGGATGTAGCATGTTTCAAAGATAAAAAAAGACTTCCATTCTCGAAAAGTCGACGGAAGGGCGTCAGCACCATTGTGGAACTCATGGTTCTCCAGGAGCCTGGTGTAAAGATTCGTACCCATTCTTGCAGCATCTCCCGGTCCGGCCACAATCTCATACTCAAAGTACCGCGAAACCAACCACATGTCAATCTGCAAAAGATGCGACATGACACAATCTTCAAACTCTCACACTACGAAACAGCGACAGGGTGATCCAGCAAGCAAGCAAAGTCAACATGATGAAATGGAATCAAGGCATGAAATACTATCTCGGCACATGCTCTTGAGTGTAGATCTGATGGGCTTTCTCGGGCCGTGTTTTAGCGCCTGGGGCGAGGAGATTTGGTGCTGGAGTTTTGAGACAGTGTGTGTGTGTGTGTGAGTCTGGCAAGCCAGCTGGGGCATTTTGGCAGATCAAGCGATCAAGCCATGGCGGAAAGCGAGCGTGGTGAGCAAGAGGAGCGGGAAGAACGTGGGGAGCAGCAGGAGCGGGGAGAGCGCCGTGAGATCGACAGCCCTGACTTGGATGAGATGAAGAGCCGCCGTCGCACTTTGAAGGCAGAGCTCAAGACGATCGCAAAATCCATCCGCAACGAGGCACGTGTGGGTGTTATGCTTTGAAGGCAGAGCTCAAGACGATCGCAAAATCCATCCGCAACGAGGCACGTGTGGGTGTTATGCTGCTTGCAATTCTTTCCAAATGTTTGGGAGCACTTTTCTGATCGCGCCAAACGCTGGCAGGCAAAGAAACGGAGACGCTTGTTGGCCAGAGCCGGCAACCTCGGCGACGCAGATTTGTTGTGGTTGCTGCGTCGTCGCCATGGGCGCGGCGCAGCATGACCGGCCAGACTTTTGATTTCTCATTTCTCACCAATGTTGGAGATTCTTGTCCCGTCGGCGCGAACATGGCTGTTTCTCGCATATTGCCATCCTAAAGATTCCAACAATGTGGCGCTGAAGCAGCTCGAACATGGGCTGTCTCACCCCCTTGCTTTCTCGCATGTTGCCATCTTGAAGATTTCAACACGGGGTGCTGAAGCAGCTCGAACGGGCTGTTACCCCTTGCTTTCTCGCATGTTGCCATCTTGAAGATTTCAACACGTGGTGCTGAAGCAGCTCGAACGTGGGCTGTCCCCCTTGCTTTCTCGCATGTTGCCATCTTGAAGATTTCAACACGGGGTGCTAAAGCAGCTCGAACGTGGGCTGTTACCCCTTGCTTTCTCGCGTGTTACCATCTTGAAGATTTCAACACGTGGTGCTGAAGCAGCTCGAACGTTGAAGATTTCAACACGTGGTGCTGCAGCAGCTCGAACGTGGGCTGTCGCCCCTTGCTTTCTTGCATGTTGCCATCTTGAAGATTCCAATATGTAGTGCTGAGGCAGCTCGAACGTGGGCTGTTACCCCTTGCTTTCTCGCATGTTGCCATCTTGAAGATTTCAACACGTGGTGCTGAAGCAGCTCGAACGTGGGCTGTCGCCCCTTGCTTTCTTGCATGTTGCCATCTTGAAGATTCCAACATGTAGTGCTGAGGCAGCTCGAACGTGGCTGTCCCCCTTACTTTGCTGCACATGCCAACTTAAAGACTCCAACGTGTTGGCTGAAGCAACTGGCGCAGCCTGTGGGCAGTGCGAGAAAAAGATCGAGGGCTGAGTTTGATAGCGACCCCGTTTGAACCATTGCCTGGGATACAAGGCTAGGAAGTACGGAGCTTGCGCGTTGTTTAGCGTTGCCTCTGGTCGGTTGCCCTTTCCTGCCTCTAGTCGGTTGCCCTTTCCTCGAACACCCCCCCCCTTAATAACATTGTAAGTCCCAAACGGGGTGTGTGGTCCCGGTACTGTGTTTTACAGCACAAACGGATCCCGGAGACATCCCGGAATGATCCCGGCACTGCGTTTTGCAGCACAAACGGATCCCGGAAACATCCCGGAATGATCCCGGTACTGTGTTGTGTATGTGTGCGTGTGCGTGCGCCTCCCCCCCTCCCCAAATTAATACCCCGGAGTGTTGCCACGCAGAGGAGCTTTTTCACGAAACAAGCGTTGCAAAAAGCAGTGCGGTTTGCTGGTTATGTTTGGCTCAAGTGCTAGGCCTGCTGACGCAACACTTGCTACACGCCTTGCTGGCTGGAAGAAAATGCTAGGCTTCTCTGCAAACATTGGGCTCAAGGGCTGGCTGGATGACATTTTGGCTGGGCAAAATGTTTGGTAGACGGAGCTGGTAGCTTGGACTGGGCCTGCTTTGCAGCTTTTGTGTCTGCGCGTAGCTCAAGGGCTCAGAGAGACTACGGTCGTTTGCACATATGGCAGCCCCTTCTACGGCGCGCAAGCGCCAGGCGTGCGAGGACCTACGCGAGCTCATGGCCGAAGTTGGCATGGAGACGCCAGGGGCAGCGCAGGAGTACAACAAGACGCGATTTGCTTCGTTGGTGGAGCAAGTGCGGGCTTCGCCCGCCACAACTCCGGACCAGCGAAGCCGGCTGGAGCAAGTCACGTCGCTCTACGCCGGAGTGCGCCAGGAGAACGGGAAGAAAATATTGTTGTAACCTTTTGTGTTTGGAGAGCGAGACCCTAGAAAGCGGGGCAAGCTTCAAAATGCGGCGCCGTCAGGTGCCACCTCTTCCTGGCAGGCGCGTGGCCCCGGCAGAAAGGCAGCGTCCTGCGGCAGAACCAGCAGCACCGGCTGCTCCGCAGGCGCCGGGTTTGTCGTCTGATACAATTTTGACGGCGCTTTCAGTGCACGGAAGTTAGCGCCCAACTCGAAGCTTTCACAGATCCCAGCCCTTTGCGCTCGGCGCTGTTCACCTTCAACTCCCTGGCGCTGAAAAGGGAGAGCTGGTCAGACTTTCTCACGTGGCTCGCCACGCTGGAGTTCGTGGCTCGGTTCACCGCAACTATGGAGGATTCCTACCATTCAGCGCATGAGGGAAGAGTTCATTTGCACTTCTTCGCCGAATTCAACCGCCCTGTTGACTGGACCACGCTGCGGCCCGTGATATTTGGAGGCATTACGCCAAACGCGCAGCCAACTCGCGCGCGAGGTCCTCGAACCAGGGAAGCCATGGACCAGGGCCATTTCTACTGCTACGCGCAGAAGGCGCTGCTTTCAGACTTCTTCCTTTTCCCACTACGGGAAAACAGGGACCAGCTCGGGTGGTTTTCGTGACTTTGGCTCTCAAAGCTCCCTTTGCTTTCTCACGGGGAAACCTTCCCTGTTAGGTGGGCACTTTGGAAGTGGCGACCTCCAACTATGAGCCTTGGATCCACTACACGGTTAAGGGGCCTTGGTTGGATTCCCTATGGAGCGCGCACAAGCTGTCGCACCAGACGTACCTCCAGTATGCGCGCAGCCCCCAGATTCGCATTGTTCACTTGCGCTGGAACATAGCGTTTGGGAACAGAGCTCCAGAACCTTCCTTGAGTCTCGTCAACTTGAGCTTAACTCGCCGCCTCTGAGGTGCCAGGTTCGCACTGGCTTCATCAACTTGAGCTTAACTCGCCGCCTCTGAGGTGCCAGGTTCGCACTGGCTTCATCGGGCGCCAGCGGCAGGTGGAGGCAGTGCAGATGCACGAGGAGCGCGGACGGCTGCTGGAGCAGCAAGCTGCCGCAGAGGTGTCGCTGCAGCGCCTGAAAGGCGATTTCAAGGCACCGGTGCTGGCGCGATGCGAGTCCTGGGCATCCCAATACCAAGAGCCGAAGATGAGGTACAAGTTTCTGATCTTGAGAGGAGGCTCGCAGAGTGGCAAAAGCACTCTTGCAAAAAGCCTTGGTGCTCTCTCTGTAGAGGGCGTTTTCCAAATGGCTTATATTGTACCTGAGAGGCTTCTGACACTCGTCCGTCCAGCATTTGACCTCGTCCTGCGAAGGATTCGAAGTCTAAAACGCTGCGTGCAGGCGTGTGGCTGCAAAATAGAGACCCCTAGATTTGCTTGCAATTTGGCTCCAGGTTGCATTTCAAGCGAGCCAAGCTTTGCAGGGCTAAGGAAAAACAAAAAAAATCAAAAAAAGGGGTCCAAAAAAATGGGGTCCCCAAAAAAAAGGGAAAAGGGGTTTCCTTTGGCAAAGCTTGACATCGCTTGAAATGCAACCTGGAGCCAAATTGCAGCGCATATCTAGGGGTCTCTATTTTGCAGCCACACGCCTGCACGCAGCGTTTTAGACTTCGAATCCTTCGCAGGACGAGGTCAAATGCTGGACGGACGAGTGCTAGAAGCCTCTCAGGTACAATATAAGCCATTTGGAAAACGCCCTCTACAGAGAGAGGTTCGCCTGAGAACTGCTGTAAAGTCTTCTAAAGAGAGGGATACAGGGAATGCAGGGATTCCCTGCAGAAACCCTGCATTGAAATTCCCCCAGGATTTCTTGCTATACGCTTAATTTCTTCAACACAAGTGCCAACACAATTGCCACTAGTGTTCACATTTCTGCCGCGCCAAGCCGCTATACGCGCTTAATTTCAACATGTCGGATTACATGTCGGATGAACATGTTCTTGGCACTCCGGGTGCGCCACCCTGCCGCGCCTGCCCGGCATTGAAGCCGCGCCAAGCCGCTGAACCCCCACTCTCCCCCGGCTCGTTGCTATATGTGCTATATGTGCTATTTGGGTCTTACACGCCAAGCCGCTGAACCCCCACTCTCCCCCGGCTCGTTGCTATATGTGCTATATGTGCTATATGGGTCTTACACGCCAAGCCGCTGAACCCCCACTCTCCCCCAGCTCCATGCTATATGTGCTATATGTGCTATATGGACGCCAACCCGCTGAACCTCCACTCTCCCCCAGCTCCTTGCTATATGTACTATATGTACTATATACTCTGTTCGCGCGAAATCTGTACTATATGTGCTATATAGGGCCATATAGCACATATAGTACATATAGCATGGAGCTGGGGGAGAGTGGATGTTCAGCGGGTTGGGGGCCATATAGCACATATAGTACATATAGCATGGAGCTGGGGGAGAGTGGATGTTCTGCGGGTTGGGGGCCATATAGCACATATAGTACATATAGCATGGACCCGGGGGTTCAGCGGGTTGGGGGCCATATAGCACATATAGCACATATAGCAAGGAACCCGGGGAGTGTGGATGTTCAGTGGGTTGCCGCGCCACTTGCCCGGTGTAGACGCCAGCGTACGCGCCGCATGTTGCATGGTTTTTGCATGGTTTTTGCATGTTCCCGGCCTGCCCGGCATAGCCCTGCCCAGGTCGGGATTCTTCCCAGGAAAAAAATGTCGAGGTTGTCGTCTAAGCCGACAACTGCGAAAAAAATTTCCAGTTGTCCTGTGGGGACAACTGTCTAAAGTTTCGGCGAACCGGCCCGAAAAACCCATCACCGGGCCAGCGCCGGAGGTCCGTCAGCGAGGCTGTCCTCGCAGCATCGCTGACAGAGTGTTTTTTCACCACTCACACGCTGCCGTCAATCCTGGCGTGGGCACAGGAATGCCATTGTCAATCCTGGGCTGGGTGCAGGATTGCTCCACCCAATCCTGCGCTGGGCGCAGGATTGCCCTGGTGCACTACAAGCAGCTCGGGCTTGGAACTGTTCTTGCCCGAGCGCAGGCTCGTGATGGAGTCGGCCCCGCTGTAGAGCTCCCGGGCCTCGGGCACGTCGTTGACGCTGACAACGAAGGGCAGGCCGCTCGCGAAGAGTGCGTCTCGCAGCTCCGTGTGAAAGACCAGGTCGTGGCCCCCTCTCGTACCATAGTAGTTCATGCTGCGGCCGGGGAAAATGTAAGGAGGGTCAGCGTAGATGCACTGGTGCGCCAGGCGGGCAGAGCGCGTAGATAGGCCAGCGCGTCCTGGTGCCGCACGGTCACGTTGCAGGGTGGCTGCTGGAGGCGCCGCACGCTGCTCAGTGCCAGCGGCCGCTGCTGTGCGAAGGAGCCCCACTTTCCCGAGAAGCTGTTGCGCAGCAGGACGTACGCGCAGGCGGCCCGGCGCCCGGCACGGCCTCTCAGCGCGCCCGGCAGAAGGGGCCCGGAGTAGAAGCGCCTGTCCACCCTGCGCCCCACCAGGCGCAGCAAGGAGCGCAGGAAGACCGGGTCTCGCCTCAAGTAGCAGCGGTGCAGGTTTGCGACGGGCTCGAAGGCGTCGACGCCGCGCACCTCCAGGCCCGGGCGCCGGGCGGCGAGGTAGTACTCCAGCTTTCCAGAATCGAAGAAGGGAGAGTGAAGCACGGCGACGTCCCCCAGCAGCCGGTCCATGTGAGGAGCTAACCACGCTTTGCTACCAAAGTACTTCAGCTGCATACCGGCCCTTTAGTTTATCCGGAAGCGTACTGCTGTGTAGCAGTGCGCTCCCAGAAAACACCGGCAGCGCGGTGCTACACAGCACTGCACTCCCTGATAACTCTGGGAGCGCGTCGGTACACACAGACGCACTCCCGGACTCGCCGCCCGGATTGCGCGGAAAACACCGGCAGTGCGTCGGTACACACCGATGCACTGACGGACTCGCCGCCCGGCTTCCCGGCTTCGAATTTGGCAAGTAAAACAAAGCATGGGAAAGATCAAGCTTTTCCCCACGCCAGAATACAGCAGCAAGCAGTCCTCGGACCCCGTGGTGCCCCTGGTCCCGTGCACGGGCATTTTCCTCGGACCTTCCAAATCGGGCAAAACCGTGACTCTGATCAGCCTGATTCTGGAGCAGTATCGCGGCGTGTTTGAGAGAATCTATATTTTCAGTCCGTCCATCGACAACGACGACGGCTGGATTCCCGTCAAGAAGTACATCGAGCAGGACCTGGGAGTGAATACTGAACGGGAGCAAGCCTACTGGGACGAGTGGGACGAGGCGGCGCTGCGCCGCATCATCCAGCAGCAGCGCAAGCTCACCGAGGCGTCCAAGAAGTTGGAGATGAAGAAACTGTATCAGGTCCTGATAATCTGCGACGACCTAGCGGACGTGCCTCAGCTCCACAGACCCAACGGCGCCCTGGACACTCTCTTCATCAGGGGCCGGCACCTCCACATCAGCACCTGGGTCAGCTCGCAGAAGCTGAGACTAATCAGTGCGGCCGTGCGGGTCAACCAGCAATTCCTCTGCTGCTGGAGGCTGCGCAACCAGCACGAGCTGGACGCCGTGGTGGAGGAGCTGAGCGCCCTGCTGCCGAAGGAGCAGCTCTACCAGTTGTACGAGCAGGTGACGCGGGAACCTTACAGCTTCCTTTTCGTCTACTACCTGAAGCCGAGGAATGAAATGTTCTTCAAGCGCTTTGAAGAGCGTTTCGCATTGGAAAGAGAAGCCGATGGGAGCGGCGCTCAGCTTCCTGGGCCAGAAGCTGTTCGCTTGCTCCACACTGATCAGCGCACGGTGCGAGAATATCTCCTGCTGCACCTCCGTCGCAGCCGTCCACCCGCCCGTCGTCCGCAGAACGGGCGGCCTCCTAGGGAAAAGGATGACGACGATCTACGTGGACAGCCGCAAGAGAGTGGCCGGCTCGGACAGCGACTTTGAGGTGGACCTGGGAGAGTCCCTGCACTTGCAGAGCGACGCCCGGCTCGCCGTCTACAAGATCCGCCTGGCCGACAGCTTTTTGTCCACGGACCGGGGCCGCTACATCTACTGGGTCGACGCCGCGCTGGGCACGCTGAACTGGGCGTTGTTGCCCGAGGGCGCGTACACTGGCGCACGGCTGGCCGCCTGGATCAGCCCCAACTTTGCCACCGCCACCTACGGCGAGACCACAAACAGCCTGAGCGTTGCCTACGACGGCAACCGGCTGATCCTGAACGACCTGGAGCTGCGCCAGAAATTCCCAGATGCCGCGGACTACCCCTCCGCGCCGGCCGCCTCTCCGACCAAGCCCTTCAGCATCGACCACATGCTCGGCCCGAGCTTCGTCTCAGGCGGGCAGCAGATCTTCGAATTTCTCAAAATGATGGCGCACAACGAGGTCTACCTGCACTGCGCCCAGCTGGCCAACGCCAGCAGAGTGCTGGGCAACCTGGGCGACGACATCCTCTCCAAGATCACGCTGAAGAGCGGAGTGGGCACCATTGTGGAGACGGGCTCTGACGACGGGCACTTCATGGCCCTCAGGGGCCCGGTTACCCTGAGGCACATGCGCTTCCGCCTGACCGACCTGGACGGCAACGTCGTCCGGCTTCGCGGGTCGTCTTTGTCGTTCGTGTTGTATCTTGACCACGTATAATTATATGGAGCCGACCGAACAA